TCATTACGACATGGCGGCAGACTGTTTTGCCCAAGGACTGCAAACCTTCCAAGTGGACCAGGGTTTGATTGATGCAGTGCATGCCATTCTGGCCTCCATGAGAGTGGTCTTTGAGTACGGAGCGCAGGTGGCGGAACGTGAAAAGACCATGGAAAGGGAAGATGAAAACACTCCCCCTGGCATCCCCCAAAACCATTGGAACAGACCTGGAGGTGGTCCTTCCCGAATACTCCAAAATTGAAATCCCCACTTGGCTGACGGGAAAACTGGCCAAAGACTCCAAGACCCCCGTTCTCCATGCTTGGACCTGCGATTTAACCAATCGCTTTGGACCGGAGGGAGACAAAGACATTGCCGACACTTTCATGGATCAGCCATACATGGACCACCACGTCTACTTGGTGGCCTTTCTGCAACTTGCCTTCATGAAGGCAGATAGTGTCTGCGCCCAACACCAAAGGAAAATGCTGCAGATTGTGCAGTACCCAAGAGGAAGAGGAAATCCCAAGCTATCGCAGGAACTCTATATTCGCATGATTGCCCAGTTCCTCATCGCCTCCGTCAAACTGGGGCTTTCCCAAGAAGCCTTGAAAAAGGCTGAGAAACAACTTCGCTCCCACACATCTTCCTTTGCCAAGAAGACCACTCCTGTGGGGGGAGTGAAGGCGCCACATATTCTCCACAAAATCCGCATGTTGGAAGACAAGGATAACTTAACTGCCCTTGGGATCCGTGAGAACACTTCCTCCACTTCACCTTCCTTGCTTGTGGGCGGTTGTGATGAAACCAGTGCAGACTTGAGTACAGAGTCCAATCACTCTTCCTCACTATTTGGAAAGCCCAGTCATCAGGGTGATGATGAGAAAAAGCACAAGAAGATGCACGCCAAGGAGAAACCGAAACGATCCAGTTCTTCGAACCCGTTTGCATGGCTGAAAGGCACCATCTGGGCCAGCAAGCCCAAGAACCACACGCCCGGTGCCGTCTCTGCGTAGGCAAGGGCGGAACATTCTTGCCAATCAATTTTAATTTTGTGATGAGACAAGACGCACGGTTGAGTGCGCTCGTACATGTTAGTGCATCTATACTATCAACCTCTAGTAGCTAGAACTATCTAAAAACAACTGAATAAACTACATGTCCCAAATATACATACATTGTTCCAAGCAGAAAACGCAAAGCTCGCATACATCCATTTACAGCAACGGGCTACCAACAACAACAGAGATACACTCTACCGTATGAAGTCTTGGTGGTGACTGCATCATTTATTTGGTACTGGCCGGGTCAACCGCCACCGGTTTCGTTAAGCCCCTGATCCCGGAACATGTGAGTGTGAGTTCGAATCATAAAGTCCAACAAGTCTTCATCGGTAGGTTTGTCACTCTCCTTTCCAAAAATCGACCGAAACAACTTGATCTGATGCGTCTTGAGGGCCGAAACTGGGATATTCTGAAAGAATTGTTTGAGGACGGGGTGTTCCAATTTCTCGTCAAAAACTGCAGTTACCAAGAGGTTGAAGAAGGCATCACCTCCCAGGCGCTCATACAGCGAGGGTTGTTCATCAGCTCCTGTCATGGTGATATCTTCTGCTTATTTTGAGATCGAGAGGCTGGAAAAAATATTGGAGGTTGTTTCTTTTTATGATGGTTTGTGCTGGTTGCGGAGCTTTCAAGTTGTGAGGCTGGAAGCTGGAAGGAAGTTACATTTTGCTCGGGAGTTTTCGACGACGTCGACGACACACCTGGACTTCCAACAATGACTCTGGCAGATGCCCAAGTGTCGTGAAGGAGAATATACCTTTAAAGCCGGCTGGTCGGATGACCTTCTTCTAAATAACGAGACATCCTCTTTAACTCATTTTGGATCCACGATGTTCCCATGCCGTACCTGGTACCGGTACCGGTAGGGTTTCGCAGGTGGTACTCGACTGCCGACTGCTCCTACCATACCGGTACCGGCACAGCTTCCAATGAAGAGCGTGGTGGAAACCAGTGGAGGGACATTTGTGGGGAGGCTTTTGTGTTCCACTGTTCCACTTTCCAGAAGTCGAAGTTCAGCACAGCTAACAGATCCCAGCCGTCACCGAGCCACTCTTGAATGGATTCGGAATTCGGACATAGCCCTCGCACCTGAAGGGCAAACAGACACACCAACAAGAGGTCCCTCCGGGGGCGCCAACCCACGATCTTTGTATTGTGAAAGGAATGCTAAATTTTCTATAGTACTACTAATACTACTTCTAGCTAGCTAGAGGGGTATGGGAGGGATGCATGCCTTTTTGGCAACATATCTGGAGTTAGGTTCAGTTTATGATAGATCTAGTTACCCTTCATATTATGGGTCTGTAGAGTGTGCTGGCGGTGGGGTAGATCTGTGTAGGTCCTGGTGTTGGATCAGTGCACATAGTATGCTACAGCAGGATTCCCAGGTAGGAGCTGTTGCTGTTGCTGGTATGGTCGGTGGTATGCATATGCTGGCTGCAGTCTATGGAAGGGAAGGATTGGGGCATCATTGCTGCTCCTCTGTCTCCAAAGTAAGTGTCCAAAAGCAGGTAGAAGGTGGCTTGGCTGTGAGAAGCCAAATTGATGGCAATCTTGTCGTTGGTGGTGGTGGAGAATGTTGTCTCCCCTCTTTGCACTATGTTGGCTCCAAAGAGGAGCAGTTTGTTGTCGGAATTGGAGCCAAAGAGAGCAAAGATAGGCTCAACGGAGGAGGCAGTTGCCACCGTGCTGTCAGTTTTGACGAGCAAAGGTGGCTCCAACTTGCTATAGATGTTGGCAACCAAAATGGGCCCGAACATGATGGGTTCCGTGTCAAAGTTGCTGTTGCTACCGGTACGTGTGGATTTCACGTCATTGTAGTAAAAACCGATGTGGGACAAGTTGTCGGATCTGCCACATTCATAAAATGCTCCTGTAGCGCAGTCAATGGATTGTTGTGGTTGTATTTGAGCTTCGAAATGGGATCGGCAATGAGACAATCGTTGTTCGCGAGGAGGCGTCATCATGACTATCAAAATTGGGCTGCGCGGAGAAGGAAGCTACACGGTCGAACTGGTTGTCGTTGACTGATACGAGCGTTGTTGAAATAATTTTAGCAGTAGTATCGAGGACATGACCAGAATTGTTGTTGTTGACTGGCAATGTGACGAGCGTCATTGCATTGGTCGGAGGAGATGCATTGGCCGGGAAATGATGTTTGTGCTTTCGGACATGAGCTTGCCAGGATCTCCTCCCCTTAATCGTATGGCATCTTCAAAGGTAGTAGAGGGAGAATATATCGAATACACAGATGGCAAGCAATGAGAGCTGATGTTATTGGTGGCTCTTGTTAGCCGTGTCGCTGGAGCCATGGAAAATGGGCTCCGTGGTTGCCTTTCTACGGTCGTTGACAATGATGAGACCAGACGAATCGTTGTTGTTATTTTCGCCAGTTGTGACGAACATCATTGCAATAGTAGTGCATCAGCGTGCCATTGAGTCCAACATAGTGTTGTTCTTGTTGTTGCTACTTTTTCACGGAAGCGAATCAATCGAGGAGCTTCCCCTCTGAACTGTCACTATAAGAACCACACTGATAGCAACAAACACAATATACAATCGGTCATACGCTATACTTACACTACCTATTAGCACCATTAGAAGCAATTTGAAACGAAGCGAAAGACCTCAGAGAAGCACTGTTTATCTGTTATCTTGTAAAGAGTACTGTTTTACTATATAGGAAAGCGCAACGATACAGGAACACACTCCCGCTTTTCTCTCTTTAATCTCTCATTCAAGCCCTCAGGTTGACAGCGATCGACACTCCTCTGGTATCTCCTATCAAGCGCACCTCTCCACATCAAGCGACTATCAAAGCGGCCTTCTCTCCGGTTCAGATCTAAAAGCCATCCCAATTGAATCCTACGAGATTCGGGCGGGTTTTCTTTTCTCGGACCGATCGACGTCAAGTTGGAAGAAATTTGGAACAGCAAGTTAAGCAATGTTTCCTTCTGCGGTTTCCCAGCAACAGCAAGAACAAAACTCAATATCTATTTGTTGTTTTCTCAGCTACGCTCCTGACAGGCCATCAAAATCCCATTGTCGCGATCCTCTTTTTCGTACGATGACGATCTTTCCGCAGCAACGACAGGTTCAGTTAACACTTACCCCTAAGGCAACTGACTCACATCTCCAATCGCGAATTCGAATCGATTCAACGAATCTAATTCGGAACCGGAATCCAAGACCTCGCTACCCCGTGAATCGATCGATCTTCCCGCGAACTACACTCTCTCCTCCGATACTCCTACCTCTTCCTCGTACGCAGCCTACTGTCATCAAGAAGATTCACGAAATACTTGCAGTGACCACCGAGAAGAGAATTACAACCTGTATTCTACTTTTTCACCGGCCACTCTGGTTTCTCCCGACGTCCTTGTGTGGAACTGATACATCCGCTACGACCACCCCTCCATTGATATCTAACTCCTCCCAAGAGGAAAACAAACAACAACAGAGTTCTTGTAAGACTTGAAGTTCTTGTATCTCCCCAGCTTGGCTGCAATTTGTAAGATTTCACAGCCCCTCCCTGATGATATCCAGCTCCTCTCCCAAGGATCTCAACCCCCACAAAGAACAAAACTACAAAAGCTGCCCCTCTAGCGTGATTGCTTAGATTGTGCAACACTCATTGACACAGCCACCTCCCTGCTACTGCACCTACTCTCCTCTGAGTGTGGTGCTCCAAAGGTTGAGCCCCAGACAGAACTGCAACGTGGTGTGGCATAGATAATAATACATAACTGACTCTTTCCCTCTCTCATTGATTGTTAGTGACTCCCCAGTGACTTTCCACAGTTCCCCTGAATCGAGTACCCTTCCAATCTTGGCTTGACTCTCTTTTGCATTGTCATGCCCTAGCAACAGATTGAGTACCAGTCTTTGAGACAACCAGTGTCAACCAGTAACAAGCCCCATCAACCAACAAAAACACCCTTGATCCCCCCACCACGCCTCTACGGGCTATAGCGTGACTTCTCTAGTTTCCCTGAAAGAATCCTAACAGCCTTGGCTCTCATACCATCTTCCTCCTGCAGGTAGTGGTATACCTGCACCAAGACTTGCACAGCCTTTGATCCAGTGGGCAACAATAACCAACAACTTGATATAACCTTGATTACCGTGCCTCAGTGCATTGCCCCTAATACCCCTCTAACATCACATCATCTCACCCACCTCACAAGCAAACTCTCATTAGCTTGCGTGAAGCAACGAACAACATCCAACATCTTCCAGATACGACAACTCTTCCCCAACCACCCTACCACCCAAGCACCATGACTCCCATGTGCTACCCACAAGCTGCAGACTCAAACCCCAACGTCCTCCCAGAACTTTCCCCCACTCCCAACTTCACCCAACCAACCCACATCCAACGCATCCTCCCAGACTACACAACACCACTCCCCAAATGAATCATCCAACAAGCTCCTAGAGCATTCAGCCATCTTTGAGGATCACACCCTTCCGAATCACACCCTACCCTTCAGGGAGGATGCCTTTGTTCTCACCCTTGAACAGAGACACGCCTCTATTCCACAACACACATCAACCATAGCTCACTCCCAAAACTCCTACAAAACACTCCCAACACCAACAGGATCTCCCCCCTCCCTGGCTCCAAGCCCACTCCCAGTGCCCCTTATCCTCCTTCTATTGACTCAACAACCCCTCGAACACCGACCACAACACTCCAGCAGCCCTGTGCCTCCCTCCCGGGAACCACAAGACTGCCAGTGTGTCATTTACCCCATTCATTTGCCTGCTTGTTGGCTTCTTCTAACAATTTTTGTGCATTAGATGGTGTTACACCCTGCTCTGGTCCAGCCTGAGGAGTACACATCCTACGGGCTCTGCATGGCTATCTTGCCTTGCATGCCAAGGCACTTGCCACAGCTTGGGACTGATCAACCAGACACACTTACTGGCAAGACACTCTTTGGTCTGGCAATCTATCTGTGTCCTCACGGCCCCTTTGGTTATAATGGTTTCATACCGACAAAAAACCTGTTAAGCCCCTGTAACCCAGGTTTGTGCGCTGCAGGTTCCCTTATCAATGTGCTCACCCCCCCTACCCAGGGCATCTGTCTACTGGTGCTGGCTCCACGTTGGCCAGTGGATGAGGTCATGTTGATTGGGCAAATAAGTAGATGACGACTCAGCTAGGTGGGGGCTTCCCCACCACTTGCCCGCGTCATAAAAGCCACTCCGTGGCCATAGTTTGCTAAACTAATGAGTATTTTACACCCCTGTTGTTCTTGTTGTTGCTGTTACCTGTGTGGGCGATGAGCCCGAAATTGTGCTCATAAGAGGTGTTGTTGTTGCAGCCTTGGGCAGAAACTGGGCTCTCCGAGGGGTGTACCGGGCATGACAGAGCAGTATCATCAATTTTTGGTATTGACTGGTATGGGCGTTACTACTTCAATTATAGTATAGTAGCGTGTTCTCCGCTATTCACTTTCTCGGCAGAAAACTTGGTCGCCTTCCTGCATGAACGCGTCAATGCCGGGGACTGCTCCATCAAACTCGGGTGTGAATTCCTCGTCGTCAGTGTCGGCCGAATTGTTGTTGCTCTTGACTGCGACAAGGTCGAGCGTCGTTGGAGGAGCATTGTTGTTGATAGAATGGAAAATGGGCTGCGCGGAGGAGGACAATGTTGGTTTTCCATGACAATTTCCTGTGAAATTTGCTGCGCCATAGCCGGTGGGCAAGTGCAAAGGAGCTAATCCCTTGGATACGGATCTCAGTTCACGGCAGGAAATTGGCTCTTTCATGGCCGTGATGGTGCCATAGTCGTTTTCGGGCATGGGCATGAGCTTGAGCTTGCCAGGATCTCCTCCTTTTCGAATGTCGTCTTGAAAGGGAGAAGGCATACCGGGCGCACGGGTGGCAAGCTTCTTTCCATGGTCGTACATGTAGGATGGTTCGTTCGTCCTGTTGTCGTCGGTGGTGATCACAGATGACTTGTTGCATGCATCCGCAGTGACCATCGGTGCATCGGAGAGTAAATTGGGCTCCGTGGAGTATGAAGTTGACGGTTTCCTCGGTAGAAAAATGTTGTAGTAGACATCGCTATACATGTCTTTGACAATTGAAGGTGACATCTTCATGCTGGGAATCTTGTAGCGTGATTTGGCAAGGAGTAAGTTAGTTGCCATATTGGATGAGACTAAAATTTCCGTTGTTCTTGTGCGGGGTGGATTCTTTTTCGTCATTGTAGCTGGTGCAGGAAAATTCCTTCGATTTCCACGCCCATTGTCAATTCATTCTCGTGAGTGTCGGCCATGACAAGTTTGGTTTTGACTCGGGGTATGATTTTTGAAGAGTCATATCAAAATTGTTGTTCTTTATGGTGACGGGCGTTGTTGGAGGAGTACATCACATTTCTTATTATTGTCGGCAGAAAACTAGATCTCCAGTGTGGACTGAGCGGTGTTGAGTGTTAGGCTTTCTCGTCGTGCAGTCGTCAGCAACCAACATGGTTCCTCGTCAGCGACTTTCTTGTTGTCGGCAGTGACTAAAATGGGCTCCTTCTTGAAAGATGGTAGTTAGCGCTATGGCAGCGGCTGAAATGTTGTCATTGTGAGTGAATTTTTCGGCCGTGACTCGGTTGGTTGTGGTTGTTGTTGATTTCTCGTCGGCAGAGAGCTTGGCTGATCTTCATCGTGGACATGATGAAATCAAACTAGTGCTGGGAACCAATTAAACGTCTCTACTGATTGAGACGACTTGACAAGAAATGCCACAATGGAAACAGAGCTTATCGAACCTGCCTTCCGATCAGAGATCGACCGTTGCGAGACCAACTTCCCTAGGAACGGATGAGACCTGAGCCCAGTGGGAAGTTTCGTACAACACTTCAGTCACCCTCCTCACGGAAGAAATGGTATGATGTGAGCATCTTGTTCCTTATGTTGCTTGCTGTTGAGATGGTCGCTGCCACTTGTTGCCTCTTCCTTGCCTCTTGTTGTTGCCAGTCCTGTCGTGGAGATCTGTGCCGCTACCGGTCAACCACTGCTGCTATCAACGGCTGCTGCCTGCTATCAACCGCAGACAACGCGACTCTGGGATAGAAGAGACAGCCAAGGCTACAACAGAATAGTCACTCTCTACTTGTATCTTCAACAGAAACCCTTTCGACACTCTACAAACAAGATGAGCAACCTTGAAACGGAAGGCTGATTCCATCAAAATGATGTCTCCCCAGCAAACATTGATTTTGGGCTGACACTGTAGATCCCAGTACAATTTCTACTGGCAAAAATGTTCAACCACTGGCCGCCGTGTTGAGGTAAAATTCTGACTGTCAGACCAACCCCAGAGAAAAGATGGGTTGGCAAAAATCCTTCAGACTCTGACTCGACTATTTTTGCCTCCTTCCTCCTTCCGTACGGACAGTTTGCTATCTCTGTCAAAGGTGGCCTGTTACGAAAATTTTCATTGAGTATAGCAAAAAGAGAACCTGCCCGCAGGGGCAAGATAGTTAAAAGAAAGCAAGAGAAGAGGAGGGGGGAGGAGGGGGTTCTTAGCTACAGATACAATGCCCTTCTGGCTTATTGGCATTGTGAGTGTTTCATGAGATCTGCTTTCCTCTTGGGTAGTTTGCAACCCGTATGAGTCTCTGCCAACCACCAGCATCTCTAAAGCTCAATTGTCGAGCCATATCGTTGGTCAATGCCTTTCTAGTGGTTGTACCGGTAGATCTGCTAGTGGTTTTCCTTGGCGATGTACAGGGCAGCATTGTTTGGCAATGGAGCTGCATGATGCCTCCACAGAGTCAATAGTAGAAGTAGATTGTTGTCCCTGGGATAATTTTCTTCCATTGCCCTTGGCTTCATTTCAGACCAGACTGTCAGTTTTCTTTGTGTTTTTTAAAACCCATTTACCATACTAATCGTTGCGCCATGAGAGAAGGTTAAGATAAAGCTTCAATCTTTCCCACCAGTTTTGGCATTTCTTTTTTTCATACTTCTGTCTACAAATCCAACTGATTTGAGATAGGCTTCTCCATTTCCCTGCAATTGGAATGGGTACCAGCTAGTAGTTCGTTTGTTGGTTTGTTGTTGTTGCTGCGTTGTTGCATTGATGCATGGATGCGTCGCGCACTGTTTCGGAGGGGAGATACCAAACAGATCCCTCTTCGTGTAAACCCTAAGCAGTGCCGACAGATTTAATTAAGATAAACCTCGCCATTCTGGTTGACCAACTATGGGAAACTCCTTCGTCCTAAGGAACAAATGTCCAGGTCCTGCCTTGAAAGCTCTTCCAGCTTCTTCTTCATTGGTGGCGTTATATTGGATGTTCAGATATGGTCTATTGTTATCTAGTGAGCCTTCGCGTGAAATTGGTGCGCATTCCCTCCAGTCAGAATCCTCACAATTTTTCTTTTCTTGGATCGATCGACTTGTGTTGAAGCAGCCCTCTACCCTCCCTTTAGCCTAGGAGATTCCATGCACTAAGTGTGTGGCATACACCAGCCATAACAATAGTAAGCTGCTTCATATGCCCAAACTTAGTATGCACTCTACTGACTAGTCCATTTGAAGAGAGATAGTGCAAGTCTCTGAAAGCCATCTTGCCCACAAGTCAATCCATTCAGAAACAAGAATGTGGGAAGGCATCACAGTCTACATGAGGGGACAGAGTGTAGGACCAAGCCACATGTAGGCCACCAGTGATGAAGATAATGCCTGAACAATAAACCTTAACCCTAGTACTGTGGAAGATCGCTCCAGTGAGTTACATGTGGAATTCGGGTTTTTTCAGCTCTCGTCTCCTGGATCCCTTTGCCTCATTTTGGATCCTTATGACGAATACATGCACAACCGAATATTGTCAATTCAGCCATTGTAGCCGGCTACCATATAGTTACATCCGCGACAGTGGCAACCGTACTGAATACACTTAGGTTCGGCTTTACTCGCTACACTCAGTTACCTCACATTGGATCCCCATGACGAATACATGAACAAACGAATATTGTCAATCCAGCCATTGTAGCCGGCTACTGCATAGTTACATCGGCGACAGTGGCAACAGTACTGAACACACTCAGGTTCGGCTTTGCTCGCTACTCTCCATTACCTCACATTGGATCCTTATGACGAATACATGCACAACCGAATATTGTCAATCCAGCCATTGTAGCCAGCTACCGTATAGTTACACCGGCGACAGTTGTAACAGTACACAACACACTCAAGTTCGGCTTTGCTCGCTACACTCAGTTACCTCGTATTGGATCCTTATGACGAATACATGCACAACCGAATATTGCCAATCCAGCCATTTTACCTGGCTACCGTATAGCTACATTGGCAACAGTGGCAACAGTAGCAAACACACTCAGGCTCGGCTTTGCTCGCTACTCTCCATTACATCACATGCTTTGGATCTTTATGGCGAATACATGTGTCTGTAGTGGTGGATCGATCGACCAAAAATTACTCGACAACGGGATTTCCGCGGCCGTCGGCAGTAAGAGAATAGAAAGTAAGAAATAGATATGGTTTTCTATTCTGTTCTAATACTGAAAAAACCGGTGACTTACCCTTGTTCTCCAACTTGACTATCATGGGCCGAGAACTGAGTGCCATCCCATAATCAATAGAATTCAGTGAGGGATGGCTTTGCTTCTGCACCAGAGACGGTCGGCTTGAGTAAGGATAATAATAGAGGTACGATTCGATTTGGATAATTATAACAGCTCACCTGATGACGGCCGAGAACTGGCTGCCATCCCATGGTCCATAGAATTCAATGAGGGATGGCTTTCAAATCTTCTACATCTGCCTTCAATGTCACTCTTCTCGTACCCTACTAGTCGTTCAATCGATCCACTAATACTCTTGTCGGCCAAGCTTGAATTTCTCTCCTGTTTCCCATAGAAATTCAATGAGGGAGAGAAATCAGTGCTGCGCCTTCAATGATGGACTTGAGGGACGTATGTACCGGTACGTGTAGATCTGCGATTGGATAAACCTTAACTTTAGTAACTTCAACGATTCGTTTTTTCCACGAATCGATCTAAATCTTTCGAAAGGGAACTTTTTACTTAAGGATACACATGACCGTTGATTCTGCAACTGACTTGCCGCTACTCTAATTTATACAGTAAACGCCGGCAAATCGATTCCAGAGTGCAACTGAAGGGGTAACCAAAAGGAGCACCGTCTCAGGAGACGGAATAGGATCTCTCAAATAGGAAACTTCAGAGGCACGCATGTTTTAAGCATGCTTCCTACTGGTAAAACGTTTCACCTACGCATACGATGCTTACAATTTGTAATGGTGCTGTTTACTATACGGGTTGAAAATTCCGTGTTCAATTCATGGTGGCTCGAGCCCAACAAAAGGGCCCGAAATTGCTATTTACAAGTAATTCTGCTTATATTTGGGTTTTGATTTTATACTCGTGTTTCAATTTTATATTTAGGTTACGATTTGATATTTAAATTTCGGCTTGATTTTACTAGTTATTCACCATAGAAATTTCGTTTCGAGTTTATATTTTAGTTTCGGTTTTATATTTTGGTTTTGATTTTATATTTTGGTTTGGAATTGATCAATTTAATTGGATTCTTAAAATCATGATTTCGGGCCCTTTCAACTTCACCGTTACGTTGCATCCTCCCCCAACCCCTTGCCCACCTCCACGGAGTCTTTTCCAAATCAAAGCCTCAATAACATCACGCAACTCCTTTAATTAAATAGTAAAACTGCCCCCTGACAACCTCACACATGTAGCCCACCACAAACGTTAGTTGTTCACAGCGAAGCGTACGCCCATTGACGCAACAAAATGGAAAGATAGCTAAAGACTCCTCCTACGCCTTGCCAGCTTGCCTGCCAGCTTGCCCTGCCAGCTCTCCTACTAGTACCTCACAAATCCCTTCCCCCTCCTCTTTTTCCTTTCCACAAGTCAATCGTCATCTGAAATCTAAACCACTTCCACCTATCTCAATCCTCCGCGAAAGATTCGAGTACTAGTACTCCGTCTTGCCACTGCGAGCCAGAATGTCTCCAATACTCCTCTCCAAAGCAATAATATATCGGGTGTTCCGGGAGCTTGCTAGGATAAAACCCGAAATAAGGACATTGTCCGGATTTCAATGAACGGTAAGCAGGTAACGATCGGTCGTACAAATTTCGAGGAAGCTATTGCACCAGCGCGTTGTTATGCTGAGTATGTACTACATGGAGAGTTCTCCGGTCTGTTGAACCGAAGCAATCAGAAGGAATGGTGAACTATTAAAGTAGAGCATGGTGTAATGTGGATGGGGTCCTCGGGGGTTCCGCGATAGTATACCTGGGCTGGGTACATAGTGACAATCTCATCATCGCCGCGGCAAGTCGGACAACCACATCGTTATACATACAACAATCTAGGAGCCAGCAAAGCTAGATAGATAAGGACTAGCCGCATACGTAATACTGAGGTGAGATAAACCAATATTACCTCACCTTGGTCCTCTGTCCCCCGTACTGTTTTTTTTATACAGTAAAGTAGACGCGGGGGACCGACATTAATCTAAGATTCCCCCTTATTAGTGAAAGAATTCACGTCGGTACCACAGAGACACTTTCAATCCTGTTTAGCCTCGCGGCGATTGAACGACCAATCCCGGCGCTCAGCTCCGGGCCCCAGCCTCTGCAGCAGCAACTGGATAATTGTCGTCCATCGTAATAACAACTCACAGCACAACGATCGATGAGTGCCCATGATGAGGAGTTTGCGTCTGAAGCAGCCGTTAAAGCATGGTTAGTGCAAGTGTGAAAGGTCAACGCGAAGCTACTTGGTGAAAAAGCTTCGCTACTCTACCAAGACAGAAATGCATTTATCACCCCGTCCTCCCTCCTCAATATTTCTGCTGAGGCCCTGATGAAGCACGATGATGGTATAGGAATTCCTCTTGCTAATGAGTTGCACAACAAGCTAAAGCAGGAGCATCAGCAAGATGGTAAGCTGTATTTTTATTGTTGAATATTCATATCAAATTTTCCTTTGCTAACAATTATTAACCTGCAATTCTGATGTCGACATTTATCGTCGCTAACAATTATTCTACCAGCCATGGATGCACCCTCGAAGGCCGAGCCGACCGCTGATTATGCGTATTTCCTGGCTTGTTTTACCCCTGAAATGATGACTGGGTTGTCGCTTCTGACAGCAGAGGCTAATACTAGGAAGAGAACACTTGTGCTTTCAGAGGCAACAATGACACAATTGGCCGATATGATGAACTCTTTACAGCTGCCAACTGTTGGTGCCTCTTGGCCGAATAAACCCTCTGAGTTACCAACATTGGACGCATTTCAGTGGCTACCTAGCGCTGAGGAGAGAATCGAGAGGCATACATAGCACATCTTGATACCCAAGTGAATCTGCCAAATGGCTACTCAATGGCGGATGTGCAGCCAACTCATCATCTTCTGGATGTTGTACTCCCCATCGCGGAAGGCCAGAAGATTAGTGGAACCACTGATGTCGTAATTGCAAAATTGATGAATATTCAAACTCAGCAATCAGGAACCAGGTGGAAGCTCTGCTTGAGCTTAAAACACCTGAAAATATGCAGAGGAAAGATCACAACCCACAGACAGTGGGTGAATTTGTGGCAGCATCCAATTCGAATATTTGAATATCAAGCATGGCTTACCGGTAGCCAAAAGATCTTTGGACGTGGGGTGCACATTTGTCCGCTGACGTCATCACATAGCATGAACCACGCACCAACACCGTCACTTCACAATTGCCCTCAACGGACTGAGGGTCTTTCACACTTTTATCGCTGTATGTGTGTGTGTGTGTGTGTGTGTGTGTGTGTGTGTGTTTGTGTGTTTGTTGCAGCTGTTTTGGTCACATAGGGGAAACTTTCCTCATTAAGGATAGGGATTAATATTGTGTGTTCAGCTGGACACAGTAGTTTCAACATATGGGTACCAGTTCTGGCTGGCTATGCAGACTCACTAGTGTGTCCAGATAAACACGGTGTAAGTTTTGCCAAAGACATAAGGGACATTTTCCTTGTTAAGGATAGGGATTGATATTGTGTGTTCTGTTGGACACAGTACTTTGGTCCCTTACTGACTGGCTGGCTATGGAGACTTGCTAGTGTGTCCAGTTGAACACGGTAAAGGATTTGACCAAAGATGTTAAGGATTCGATTGGGGAATCCAATCAAATCTCTTTTTGACAGTTGAGGGCATCAGCCTCCGGCTGCTTGTTCTGATACATGATGAAGACATTGACCTGCTGAGTACAAGCACAAGATCCTCCGAAAGCAAGGCACCACCAGATATCCGAAGTACCGTACCGTACTTGGTACTGTACCGCCGGAGTAAGGCAGGGTAGCACAATGAGATTGCGGACACCAGCTGCGTCTTTCATCATTCTTCTGAGTGTTCTTCAGTTGCAACGTTCCTTTGGATTTTTGTTGCAGCAAGCGCAGATCATCACACCCGCTGCCTCCACCTCTTCTCGTCTTTACTACGATGCAACAACGCAAAGCAACCAAAACAACAAATTATTTGAAACTAGCCAACGCCACATTCATGTGGGAAATTTGGATTGGAATCGTTCCGTTGATGCAGTGTCTCGAGAGCTTTCGCAGGCGGTTACAGCGACCAGGTGCATTGGCATTGAATTGAAACCAATAAATTCAAACCGACCCCGAGACCGAGACAAGCGGCACGGTGGCAGTGCCGTCATTGAGTTTGTCTCGACTCAACAAGCCAGTCAAGGGTTGAAAGCCTTGAAGATTTATTCGGACCAAAACGGCTCCAACTATCGCTTGAAGTACGCAGTTCTGGTGAAAGCACAGGACCATGAAAACGTTGTTGTGACCAAAGAACAATTGCAACGGAGACGAGAACGAACGGCAAGCTATGGACGACGAAGAAGAAGGGTTGCGGAACGTACAGATCAAATTGTTGCCAAATTACTAACAAGTCCAATGATGCAAACCCATATTCCAGTGCTGCAAGCGCCTTTGTTGGATTGGTCCAAGTGCCCTGTAGATGTCGGGGAAACAGATGGTGGTGGATTGGTGGAGGGAAGCGATCGTGCCCAACGAAAACGTGCCGCCGTCGAGGCCTATTTGCCCATTGTACAAGAATTTGTGAGTGCCTGTCATCATCATGGAACAACGAGGGAGAAGAAATCCAAGAATGTCCTGGTGGCGGACATGGGGTGCGGGACAGGGAATCTGGCGCTCCCTCTTCAATGGTGGCTAGAACGGCAACAGCAGCAACGGCACGGGAAGAACAGCTACAACTACAACATGGTATGTGTGGATCGGAATCCCAAATCTCTGGAGCGACTAGAGCACCGAGCGGCACGTGCAAACCTTTCTGTCCACGCTTTAGAGGAAGATCTGATGCATTTGATCAATACTGCTGATGATGATGCCAACAATCAGTTGTTGTCCGGTTGCAACCTCGTTGTTTCGCTGCATGCTTGTGGAGCTGCATCTGATATGGCCATGGCGGCGGCGATAGCACGATCCATTCCCTTTGCTATTTCCCCTTGTTGCATTGGGAAGGTCAATAGTTGGTACTCGTCGTCGTCGTCAGCAATGATGGGAACAGGCATGCCCTCGCCGTTGCATGACTTGTCCTACCCTCGCTCCAAGTGGCTTCAGGGTGCTATTCAATTAGAAGAGTACGAGTTGCTGGCCAAGGCAGCGGACTACGGAGTCGTTTATGGCGATAAAGCTACAGACGCGGAGCTCCAACGAAGGGATCGCTGCCGATTGGCAAAGCGAATTGTGGAAATGGATCGTTTGCGTTGGGCAGAGGAGCATGGCTACGAAATAGGTATGGTGGAGCTTCCTCGAATTGGACCCCTTTACCCAAAGCGGGAGCTCTTGTTGGGTGCACCAAAAGATAGCTCTGCCGCTGTTAAGCTGAAAAAGCTGCAAGCAAGATGATGATGGATTATTCCTATGCTGTGTGGGCATGGCTCCGAGCCATGGTGGGGCGTGTGCTCGTGGAATCTGGATATCAACCACTGGATGCCAACCAGATTATGCAACAACCTCCCGCTTGACAAACATAGCAGCACTTCGCTTTCTTTGAAAGACCTCGACCCTGATGCAAGCTTGGGGCAAAGGTATCCACCAGTCCAAGCACTGGTCTGCCATCCGGCGTACCAATATCGTACCGTACCGTATTCGCATATTCATTGGATCTTGCCAAAGCAAGCGGTGTTGCATGCGAACCTCACGTTGTTCCAGTGGCATTGACTAGATTGGCGGCAATTTCGGTGTCCATTGGTACAGCTGTAGGTTGCTGAGACTTAGAGTATGGCTGACCGTTCACTGGGCCTATTCCCGGCACATCGACGGTCTGTGGAATTGGGGAAAATAGTAATTGCAACAGCTTGGATTTAGATTACTCTACTGTCCTCAGTTTGTGGCCGCTGATCCCACATAACTCAGTCGGGAGCGAATTCCACCTCTTCTTTGCCCAAGCCTGGCCCACCCTGGCTTCCGTAGAAAACTTCCCTACGCTATCCAGATTTACTGGAGTAAACCATTCATTGACTGATGCCGGTCTTCAAACGGTTGGCTCCGACACATGCCGACTCTAGGATGGGAACTACTAGAACAACCGTCGTTGGAGGTGATTTATCTTTGTTTGATACAGTTTTCTTTTCCGTTGGTGCGTCTGTTGGTGGTGCTGGGTTGGTATTTGAAGATGGCAACTTCTCCTGGCTGGCGTTTGATTCGGTTTAGGCCTCCGCACATGTTGGACACAGTGGCTTCCTCATTGTGGTCTTTGTGGCGGTTGCGGCACGTCATGCTGGTGTGAGTAAGGTCCCATTGGAGGCCGTGTGAGAAGCAGTATGCCATTATTTCTTTTCCATTGGAGTCTCTGACGATGTATGGGTTGTCCTTTTGAGGCTGATTGGCTTTGTTTGCTTGGTCGTGGAATCCTGCCTCTTTCGTTGTGATTGTGCGGAGGCGTTCTTTGTTGGCTGCAGTGAAGTGGATTTTGAAGTTGTTCCAAGTATGGTCTGCCTCTGGTTTTAATCTCCATTCTTTCATATCTCGGGGAAATGCTCCGCTGTTTTCCAGGTTCGTCATGGCAGACCGGACTGCGGTTTTTTCACTGATGATATCATGGTCACGTGCAAAGGCTTGCGCATTTTTGATTTGGTTGAAGAGTTGTTGGATTGGTTGGGTTGGTGTCCATGGTGCATTCATGCGTTTGATGTTATTGCTGAGGTCATCGTCATCAAGTTCTCCATAGGTTTCGCGAAGATGTTGGATGAAGTCAATGTATTTGATTTGATAGTATCCTAAATCTGGGTCTTCGAGTGCTTTGTAGTATACTTCCTCAACTGCTTCCATTGCTTTCTTTAGGAGTGCGTTTTCGGTGGAATGGTACAGGTGGAATTCGTAGTGGTGGTTGACTACTGCAAGACAGACTTGTGCTTCTGTTGCGTCGATTGGGATATTGGGTCGTGGTCCTGGGTTGACTGGGTCGATCCATATGTTGCCGGCAATGTTTGCTCTGGCATTGTAGTCTTTGAGGGTGTAACAGAGACGGAGGTGACCTTCATCTCCGCGCGAGCTGAAGACTCGTCGGGCATTGTCTTTGTTTTCTTTTTCAAGTCGTTTGAGGGAAGTGTAGTCGGGTCTTCCTGTGATTGGGGAGAGGGTGGTGTGTATGAAAATTTGGGTTGGATCATGCCAGTAGGGACGGAGGGTTTTCATGAGTTGGTCCATAGGGGCGTGTGGCTTGAGCTGATCGGATGTTGGAAATTGCTTTCTGAATACTCGAGTTCTGTACACGACAAGCTACACGACGTATTGAGATCAAGTACAGTACTAGCTACTGTAGTAGTGGTACTAGTAGCTCTAAATGTACCGGTATAATAATTATTGTGATCAGCTAGCTGTTGGTTGGGCAACTTCTGTCTTCCAATGGCGGTTTTTGATTATCATCGTTGGAGCATTTGCTTGTCTAGTATTTATTTTTTTTAAATGAGGTGTTGAAGGTGAGCTTGCTCGTGGGACATGCTTCGGATGGAAAAGGAGGTCGAAGTCGCAGCGGTACGACTGTACATACCGGTACTGGGTTGTTGTTGTTAAATAAAATAGCAGAGCTACTGGTAGCGAGAGCGCTCTTTCAAACAACGTCAGCCTCAACAACGTCCAAGTTCCAGCTCATCAATGCAGTCCGAAAGCATCAGCCATCAAAGATCTGGCGTGCCATTTTCTGTGGTTGCCGTCAAAACAATTGAAGCCAACCATTGCAACCACCAGTTTCCTATCTAGCTAGCAAGAAGAAGTGATACCGAAGAAACCATGAGTGAAAGCGAAAGCACTGGTGACGAATTGTCCGGCTTGTCTGGATTCTTCTTTTATGTGTTCATTGTCCATCCCTGTACAGCATGGATTCTGAGGCCAGGGCGATTCGAACGCAAGAAGAGCATCATGTATGCCATTGCCTTTTTGGCAGCTATTGCAGCCATCAAGACAGGTACGAATAAAATCAAGTGCGATACGGTGTTTTGGTGGATGGATGATGTTATCTGCTTGGATCCAAGTTGTTTTCTCACGTTTTCTCAACTGGGATTTTGTTGTTCCACGTTCATGTTGAATTTTGCGATGTAATGCAGGCCTGGAAATGCAACAGAAAGGGCCCAACTATTACAATCTGTTGGGTGTCACGCGAGAATCCAATCCTCTGGAAATAAAGAGGGCTTATAAGCGCCTCAGTCTTCAACTCCACCCTGATAAGAATCCCAGCCCTGATGCTACTGATCAGTTTGATGCTGTCAAGCAGGCATATGATGCCCTCATGGATATGGAATTCCGAGAAGTATACAACAAATTCGGAAAAGATGGAATCAAGGCCAACAAACGCTATGATGAAACACAGTTCCTAATCGAATTGGCCATCTTTTACATTTCCTGGGGAATGATGGTCTTTATGTTGACACTTGGAAAACGCAGTGGGGAAGCCCGAAATTGGTGTTTTACTGGAATGGTCGTCATGTTGGTTATTGAAGTCACAATGATGACATCTTCCACCAATCCAATCCCTACCTGGTTATTCCCGGCACTTACCGAACATGAAGTTGTTTGGTTACTCCACAATCTATTTCCTGCCTTTATGAATGGGTGTCGATCATTGGGCGCCTATCTCTTTGTGGATCTAGATGCCCAAACACGGCAACTTTTGGTAGCTTTGCAGGAACAAAACAAAGACATGCTTCTTGTCCTTCGTGACATTCAAATTGGAGTGCAAACTGTGCAAGCCCATGGCGGCGGTGGAGGTGGACGAGTGGCTTCCGGTGGAGATGTGGCTGCAGCTGGTGGTGGAATTCCGAGGGTTACTCCCACAGGCAAGCTCAAGGAATTACAAGATCGTCTACGATCATCCAACACAAACGTAGCACAGGCAGTGCAACAAATCAATGGACAGCCACAAAAAAGCTCCAATATGGGATTCTATCTGATGATTCTCGGCTACATCGTTGTTGCATACCTCTTCCAGTAAACTTAAACACAATATACGCACAAAGATCGTGACCTTCGTATCAAGAACGAGACAGGTAGTACAATGTTTGCTTCTGCAATATCGTGCAAGAGCCGTTGCGGCTTTGTTTTCAAATAGTTTTGTGTGCAAAGTGGCCTGGTGGACCTTCGAGAATGCTTGGTTGTTTAGTCTGAGAAGATTGCCAAGAAACCGCGCGGTTCTGAGGAGAGAGTCAAGCCATCCAAGAGGAAAGGAGTGTTTTGTGACAATGCAAGAAGAGTTGGTTGCCACGTACATGGTCCTGCATAGTTGCTGGCAGGTCCGTGATGGTATTCGTGCCCGCCCAACCAGATGTGCTGTGCAACTAGCCCCTTCTGGCTCATTGCGCGAGGTAACGACACGGCAAGTCACGGTGAGTCACCTACTGGTACCGTACCGGTACACTGAAGAGCACCTCCACAGCCAGATGAGCGTTGACCGTGGCGGGATGTTGACCGTGGAAACCATCTCGTTGCTCGCGTTTCACATCGAAATCTAGCACGGTGCGGTTTGTCATCTGAACCCAACAGTCACAAAAGCGTCAAAACATTCATTGATACACAATAAATCACGTTGCGCCGCTTTATCCGACAATGTCCACCGCGACGAAAGGCTCTGCGTTCACTTCAAAAGTTGCTGCTGCGAAAAATACTTCTGGGTCAGACGACAGCGCAAATTGGACCATGAAGAACGATGACCTTCCAATCGACTTGGAATCGGGAAATGGCACAAATTTGAGCGCGGACTCTAAGAAACTCGAGAAAACTGACGAGACAACTGCAGATGATGGATATTCTTGGGGTGATTCCATTGACGATTGGTTGAACCGCTTCTTGCGTTGGTGGGAAACGACTTCCCGGAACTTGCTTCATAATCTGTGGTTCGTTGTCCAACCGGTCTTCGTCGACATGTGCGCCTTTCTCTTTTGCATATTGGCAATGGCACCCTTTATTCTGGTTGTTGGTCTCGTGTGCTTCGTGCTTGCCGTGCCAATCAGCCTGCTGACGACGGTCGTGATCTGGGCAGAGGGACTTTGCGACTTCACGCTTGACATTGTACGTGAATGGCCGACTCGAGGCAGAATCATCGAAGACGTGTTCCTTTGGTGTTTGGTCAAGATGCCGTTGATCTTGCTGATAGGATTGGGGCTTTCCTTTTACTCGATGCTGACACTTCCATTGAACTATTTGGAGGCTCTCAAGATGTTGATTTTTGGTTCTGATGGTTGTTGTGGAAACAAGAAAGACGACGATAGCAGTTCTGTGTCTACTTTCGAGGCCTAATATATCGCTTGGCAGAACCGGACGGAAGGTCGAATTGACAACAGCCTTGTCTCATTAGTTATATTCCTATAGTGTATGAATCCCTTGTGTATGAATTCCCTTTTTCTCTGTTGTGTATCTGACGGATGCACATGTAGTTCACGTATCGGATTGCACGAAGCACAGCGGCTTCAGTAGATTCGATTCACCCTTTAGACGCGGTCCTCACGGTATGGATACCAAGTGGACGAAGTCAACTGTCCGCCAAACGTTTGTTGGCCCGCTCCAAGTCATCCTCGAGTCCAAATCGATCACGGATTTCAGTATCATTGATTGGTTCCAGTTTGGAAGGAAGTGATTGAAGCATGATTGCACCATCCGGGTTGGGAGACACCCAACAAAATAGAGGTGTGGCCAGGACCACTTTGGGGACAATTGGTCCAAGCAATGCCATCTCATCAGGAGTGGGGTAAAGATCATCGCGAATGAAGCGAACAAAGTCTTGATTGCGCAATGGGAGCATTTCATCAAGGGTTTCACGTGGGGTAAGAGAGCCACAACTTCCGCTTCCATCAATGGGATCATTGCCCAAAAGGTCGTTGTTGAAGTAATGGCTACCGGTACATGTATCACCACACTTGATAGCATGATTGAAAATACTCAGAACCGCCAGGTTGATAACTAGACTAGCTCGATTGTGCTTCATGGAAAAAATGGAGCTTTGTGGACCGTCAAGCAATCCCTCACTGCGCCACTGCTTGGGATTGGAAGGGTCCGAAAAATCAAAGTGTGCTTGCATGGTGGCAATGACGGCAGCCAAAAACTCTGTCATGGCACAGCATTTCTTGCAGGCGATCCAGCTTTCATAGTCATTCTTGTTGCGAGGATCCAGAGAATCCAAAGTTTGGTTCTGAGGCAGCTCAGAGTCATGGTGACAATTGGAAGCATCGCATTGACATTTACGCATCGACCGAGGGGCATAAAATTTAGCGCAATCAAAATGGACATTGGAGCGACACATTCCTTCCAAGTATTCCAAAAGAGGCGCTAGACTGGAATCCAGGAGAGGCTTGGTCAAAGAGCTCATCTCCTTGCACGTAGCACCTATCTTCAGAAGATCAGTCCAGTGAAGAAGGCCCGGCTGCTTCATCACCACCTCAAGGACGCTGTAGCTTGTCATGTCCATCGTGACTGATGGACGCTTCTTGTAGGATTTCTCAGAGAGAGGAGGGTCGGATTCGGCTGGACGCTTTGACATGGCGGGCTGCTACTGTCTGCTGTTATCTCAATAATTCAAGGATAATTGATGCTAGCTAGAGAAAGCAAACGACAGACAGCCACAGTTAGCAATCACCACAGTCACAGCGTACATCGACACTGGCAAGCAAGAAGATTAGCAGCGTCAAATAAACGCCATTGTTACCTTCTCAATTCGGGCACGGCGGATCTTTGCTCCTGTTGTGATGGGTTCGTGTGTTGTGGTTTGTGGTTTCGTGCAATGCTCGCTCCTCCCCTTTTGCAGGTGGATCTTTCGCTGCAATGACAGATTAGGGTCAAGGATCAAATCGACAAGGCCATAGGTGGGCTCGACTGTCACCCCGATTTGGAAGACAAAGGATTGCTAGAAGAGGTAATGTGGCGAATGTCAGTAAGGAATGCTGGCTAGATAGAGGACCAATAGTTTGGAACTTGGCAATCAGTACTGGGGTGCTGGTTGCCAAGACAACACCTGCACTTGCTACATAGTTTCCTTTGCTTCAAACGCTGTGTTGCAGCCGCAACTACAAGCTTCTATGATTGACATCAATGGATCTCTAAAGTTCTATTACATGTATCTTCCATGCATGATCAATGCATATTCTCACTTCCCAAGTATCCTGAAAAGCACTCTATTTGGTTCCATTTCACTGAGCTTTCTGCCAAACTGATGCAGAGCCAACCAACTGTGCCTGGTACCTTTTCACATCAAATCTTGCCTGTGCTCCACATTTTCCAACATTGCTCTTGGGAGTTGGCTATTGAGGTCACATTTACGGGGAAAGTGTGTCTGGTACAAAGTTGTTTGGATCTTGTGTAATGGCATTGCAGATGCATGGGACATAAGGATATTTGTTGTCGGAGTCCCACAAAAGCCAATGGTAGTTGCGGCAACATCCACCATTTTGGGGAGGATTACTTGCACATGAGTTGTCTGTTTGAGGGTTTGTCTTTTGTGCTTCATGGACGGAAGACCATGGGACACAGGGATTAATCTCTATCAATCCACCACTTGCAACACTTCCTCTGCTGCTGCTGTTTCCGCCGCTGCTTCCTTTCTTGAGAGCGCGAAGCCTGTTTGATGGAATCTCAAGGCTTTCTTCTGGTACAGCCTTGCCTTTGGCTCCCTTGAGTCCTGAAGCAGAGTTGGGAACGACTGCTGCTGCCAACATGAAAAGGAGAAGGCTCATTTGGATCTTCATGATGTTTCTTGTGTTGTGTTTTGATTGCTTGGATTGTGTTTTGATTGTGTTGATTGTGGTTTTGTGAGAGAGTTTGCAGAGCGTCGCATTGAAAAGTGTCTTCGGTTCGGGCGACCATGCAAGCGAATTGCGTGGTTCTCATTCTTGTTTTGCTGGTTGTTTATGCAGCTTATTTAACTTGCAACGGAAAGTGGATCACAGTTCCCCTCTCTAAGATGCTTTGGGATGGCTTCTTGGTGCACTTCAACCACTGAAAAAGCCTTTTCCCTGCTCACTTTTTGGCCAACTTTCATTGCTACGATCTGTACACGTATCATACGCTGCACATGAACTTTGCCGGTGGGGCTCTTGCTTGGTTTTGCAAACAGTTCTGTGATTGCGAATGCAACGAATGATCGTTGCAGAATCGAATCAGAAGCAATGAATGGGATGGTGGTCACTGGCTTGACACTGAGAAAGGAATGGAGAGCACATCCTGAAAGGAGCGGAAAAGGGTGAAACTGTATGCAAAGACACAAGAAATCAAGCGAACCTCTGCTCTACCGCTATCAGCAGCCTCAATTTCTCGTGCCGGGGTTTTCCATTGCACTTCTACGTGAGCTATATGCATACATCAATCGTGTTGGATTTCTTGAGTCTTGACCAGAGAGACTGCTGGTATGCTGTCTAACCTCGAATGATCCAATCGCTGGTTTTGTGTTTCAATTCCAATAAACTGTTCAGTGTATTTCAAATTTGACGTCTTCTGAAGTACTACTGAGTACTACCGTAGTAGTAGGGAAAGGAGTCTCCCGAGGAACCATCGACCGAATGATGTACACAATTGACCTCTTGCCCGGATGAGGTGTTGTGGTTACTAGTCATTGCCACTCTACTGACAGTCTCCAGGAGCTACCAGGTACGAGATATTATTATGTGATCTTTAAGAGAGTTACGGAGTGAGGGGGGCGGCAAACAAGCCTCCGGTAGGCAGAGAAGGGCACCTGTGGATAATATCTTGATCACACTGCAGTGTTGTAAGTGCGGATGGCCATGGTTGGTTGAATTAGAACGCTTTATTAGTTCAATGAATCGTTCAAGCCAGGAAACAAGAAACAATCCAAAGTCCAATGCAAAGTACCAGAAAAGGGAACATCATCAGCATCAGCATCGTGCGCCTCAACCCCGTAGCATGCCAATGGTGATGGTCATAGAGGCAGTGTCGGACTATCGTCTCGTCAATAACTTCCGCGTTCCAACTCCCGCCTGAGTATTCCCGAGGCACCGCTTTAGAACAAATCTGGCAACAGATTCTAGCCTTGGTTCCATTTGAACACGTCTCCGCTCGAAATAGACGAGAGATGGGTGGGTTGGCACTCTCAAACTGCTCGCACAACCGATGAAGCTGCCCTCTTAGCTGGGCCGCACGACGTTGTCGTTCACCCATCCAACTGTTGTAGAAAGAATGCACACGACGGTAGAGAGAAGGCACAAGACGACACACTGTCATTCCGCCCAATATGCATGCAGCTAGGCATGCAGCCTTCGCCGAAACTCTGGGCCATCCAAAGTATGATACCGGTACTGCTGCCGACATTGAGAGGACATTCTCGAAAGCAGCCTTCACCGAAACTCTGGGCCGTTCAAAGTACGGTACTGCTGATGACAACCAGAGAACGGCCGCGAAAGTTATCCAATGTGATACTGCTGCCAACAATGGGAGGACTTTCGCGAAAGCGGCACAAGGTGGTTTTCGTTCGTACTTGGATAACAATACTGGTCCAATATATCGATAGACATGACCACGTTCAAGAAAGAGTATGTGTTCAGGGATGTGGAGACAATAGTGATAATCCAACTCTCCAGCCAGTAATCGCGTGCTCCCGGTATCCTGGAAAAGGAACTGGGCGATGTCTTCTTTGCTGTTTTCTCCTGGACACAAATCTGTCACGTAGACACCGTGCCCATATGCTCCCGACGTGGGCATAATCGCCCCTTCCCTGCGACTGGACTCATAGTTAGCTTTGTTGGTGAAATGATACACTCTCATCAAGCTCGATGCTCTGAAGTCCTGGTCCTGGTCCTGGCTGGCGAAAGTTGATCACAGGCAATGGTTTCTGGCACCAGAGCTGTACCAGTTGCTGGTGAGTGGAATCCGCTTTCAAGTTTACTGTGAACGAAACGCTTGAAGCTTCCAATCCGATATTTCTGGTGCGCCACACTGTGTGCATACCGCTACCGGAACTGAAGTAGTGCAGCCACCCCTCGATCGGCACTCTAGCTCGACACCTGGACTGTAGAATACTCCGCAGTCCACGCTTGTTGGATCCCATCAGCAGAATGATGATGCACGAGAGAAATGTCTCCAACTACATATGAGGCTCGACTGACAGATCGTGCCCGATGTACGATTCCGTTAGCATACGCCACATTACTACACAACGTGGGGCTACCGGTAAGGTTGTCAGCGCCGCACTGGTACATGTGGCAATGATTTGGACCAGTCTTGGATGTGCATGCCTAGTTTAGTTTCTCTAGAGTGTACAACATGCTTCCAAATACATGGTTTCCCGACCATAATCATCATCACGACTGATGGATTGAAGTGAATTGTTTGAATATGGTAGAGATGAATATTCCATGTTGACTTGTTGTCTGTCTCTCTCTCCCTCTTTCCTGCATTTCAGTTCTTGCTCTTTTTTTGTTTCTACTACTCCATTTTTTCCATATCTTTGACTCTGTCTAGAATTTCTCGTTTGGAAGTTTCTTCAATTTCCCCCGCCATCATGAATTCATCTAGAATGGAGTACACCTTGTTGAAATTAAAGACGATATCGAGTTCGCAGACATTGGAAAAGTAGGAATCCAACAATTCGACAAAGAGATGAATGGTTTCCAAATAACTCAATTCGTTGTCATTGACATCGACGGCAATTGTAAAAAACAACCCAGCGTATCGTCGGTAGATGAGTTTGTAATTGTTGTACTCGATGAAATTCGTGTACTTCTTGTCACGAGCCGTCACGAACCGATGCACTTCGGCTTCAATGCGCGTCTTTTCCGCTTCGACACTGTGCGTTCCACGGGATTGGGGTGGAACGTACCTGCAACAACAAGTATAGATAGATAGACACAAGATAGAAAGATGTAGATTGTTGTATGGAAAATGTCCAGAGACGACGATGGCAAAAAGAAGAAAAAATGAGACACGCCATGTCACAAAATACATATATCCCTCTTCACTCAACCAAGAGTCCTGTTGTACTGTACATACCATTTCGATAATCGGGTTTTCCCTTGTCTGTTTTGTAATAGAAAGAATCGAATCTGATGGTAGCAACAAAGAGGAGGACGAGACAATGTGAGTAAGACGGCAGTGGCTACAATTTATAGGGTGAAGAGCACCGGCACCGTGGAGTGAATCGGCTGAACACACCATTTCTCCTTATGAATCTATTCCAGCCAGCAAGTTAAGGATCCTATCTGTTGGATCTTGATGATACAGATAGACTCAATGGTGTAGACTGAAGATGCAAGGATGATACCGGTAGCGGCTTCCTCTTGTCATTGTGGACGTCGTGGCTTGGCTGCATTGGTTTCGTTTCAAAGAGCTGTTGGCGGGGCAGGCTTGTCTGAAGAAGTGTGCGACTTATTCTTGGTAAGCTGATAGAGTTGGATGGAGAGGCAAGTGGACAGGACCCACGCTATTTCCTCTCATCGTGGATTGCTTCGTTGAAAAGACTCCTCGTCAAGAGCCTTCGAGCAGACCAACACACAAAACGCTCACAAAAATAGAACCGGTACGGGTACGATACCTCGCTGAACAACCAAAGCATCCAACCAACAGAAAGCTTTATAGAACCATCAGCCTGCCTTGCCGTCAACCATGAAGTCGCAAAACAAGAAATGGCGATTCGAAGATTCGGCAACTGTTTTGTTTGACAATTCCCTTTCCTCCTGTCACCAGTCGCTCCTACAGATGCTGCAACATGGAGACTACGAAAGAGTCCAAGAAAAACTAAAGGCAATGAACTCTTTGAAAAAGACTGTTGAAACGCAACTAGCTGCAAAGCAGCAGCCAGCAATTCTTGGCTTGCTCCATCACAATGACATTTGGATCAACCAGATTCTTCCATTTTTGGGAATGGGACAGTATGCCTTTGTGGGAACTGTCAACAAGAAGATGAACCATCTATACAAGGACTATTGTGATTCTGTGGAAAATCCCAATCTCCTTGGGGACTATCATGGTATTAGATGGAAACTCTGGCACGGTAGATTTGAAGCAACCACTAGTAAAGTAACATACTACCGTGCTGCTTTCTGCAGTGTGGCACGTGCAGAATATTGGCACAGTGACACTTCCAAAAACAGATTGCCTCAACAAGAAGATGTTTGCACAACAATTGCCAGGCATGGGAACCTTGCAGTTCTTCAATGGGCCCACAACAAGGGATTTCCATGGGATCAGGACACCTGTGCTGCTGCTGCAAGTGGTGGGCATCTTGAAGTGCTCAAGCTGCTGCATGAGAAGAAATGTCGCTGGAATCGCAATACTTGTACAAAAGTTGCAGGAGGTGGGCATTTGGAACTCCTGAAATGGGCCCGTGCAAATGGCTGTCCTTGGGATCACAACACTTGTGTAAATGCTGCAGAAGGTGGGCATTTGGAACTACTGAGATGGGCCCGTGCAAATGGCTGTCCTTGGGATAATGATGGACTGACTTGTGCAAATGCTGCTGCAGAAGCTGGTCATCTCTTTGTATTGAAATGGCTGTGTGACAAGGGCTGTCACTGGAATGAGGCAACCTGCTCAAGTGCTGCTAGAAGAGGGCACTTGGAGGTGCTAAAATGGGCACATGCAAATGGCTGTCCCTGGGATAAAGACACTTGCATAAAGGCTGCCGCAGGTGGACATATAGAAGTGCTGAAATGGGCCCATGAAAATGGTTGTCCATGGGATGAAGATATTTGTTCAATGGCTGCCCTGTGGGGGAACTTGGAACTGTTGATTTGGGCCCGATCAAATGGCTGCCCATGGAATGAAGACACTTGTGCAATGGCTGCCATGGGTGAACATCTAGAGGTACTGAACTGGGCACATGACAATGGTTGTCCATGGGATGAACGGACTTGTTCAATGGCTGCCAAGGGTGGACATCTAGAGGTACTGAAATGGGCCTGGCGCAATGGTTGTCCATGGAATGAAGATACATGTTCAGAGGCTGCCAACGGGGGGCATCTAGAGGTCCTGAGATGGGCCCATGCACTTGGTTTGTCCATGGAATGAAGATACTTGTTCAGAGGCTGCCAAGGGGGGGCATCTAGAGGTCCTGAAATGGGCCCATGCACTTGGTTGTCCATGGAATGAAGATACTTGTTCAGAGGCTGCCAAGGGGGGGCATCTAGAGGTCCTCAAATGGGCCCATGCACTTGGTTGTCCTTGGGATGAAAGGACCATTTCCAACAGCAAATTCTATGCAAATAAAGCAGTGCTGAAGTGGGCGCTTGCCCATGGATGCCCTGTTACATTTTTGGATGCAGTAACCATTCTGTGTGTTCGAGCTTTGAAGGGCTTCTATTCAATTTTGAAGGGATTCCTTTCAAAATGGCGTTTCCTGCTTCTATGCTATACAATTGCAAGTATCCTTTCTGCCTGACCTCATCCGTTGCTACCCCTCCTTCGGTCGGTCTGCTCTCCTGGCAGTCGGGCTCGTGCCCTTGCGCATGTATTGCACTTGACCTCTGGAGTCCATTCCCATCCATAGTCCACTCTAACCCCTAGTAACCTCTTCGGTTCAATCCTTCTTTTCCTGTTGTGCGATGGCAGCTTGGATGTAATGACAGTGAACAGCAATCCACATCAGTGGGACCCATTGGTAGGCTGATGACTGATTGTTGTTCAACATGTAGCTCGGTGGTAGGATAGTCAGGGTATCACCTCATAATACGAATTCTACCTCCCACTGCCAGTTGCATGGTGCTCTTTGCGCCGAGTGGCAGCACACATTCGACCGGTAAAAAGCAGTGGGTCTAGAGTAGGTAGATTATCTAGATGGCGCGTTGTCACCGCCAGTTCGTGCTTCGCGGAGCGCAACTTGGTACACTCCACGCACGCAAGCAGTGAAATGTCCAGGCCAAGATACTGGTTTCTCTGATTGGGTCCAGCTTGGATGAAATCGTGGTTTGTTTTCATTACAATGCCTACACAGGATGAGGCTTCTGTTCATTGGGTCAGTGGGGTTGGCGGAGGCGATCGCCCTACAAGTTTGACATCCCAGTAGGTACCACTGCTAGTCGTCGATGGGGGTATAACTGGCGACTGCATATTTCAGAGCAATCCTGCAGTACAGAAAAGGATACCCAACACTGCGTCCCACGAAAATGGGGTGTGGATGACTTCGTCAAAATTAGTAATGGCCATCAAAGCTGCAATTGGTAGCGCCAGAGCTCGAAACAATGGAACGGAAGTTGGGCCTTGGAACTTGATCATTATTGGTATGCCCAAATTGAAGGCAAACCCAAACGGGATCCCTAACCAATAGAAGAGGGCAGCTTCACCGCAGCTAGCAGTGACTCCAACAGTTGGGTCAGTACATGAGGCAACACAAATTATGCCGTCCTCCAAATTCAATAGAATCTCATTGAGGCCGCTGCCGTCATTGAAACCTTGGCTGATGAACACAAAGAGGCTGGCAAACACCGTTTCTGGAATACACAGTATCGCCCAAAGCTCAATCCCGGAAACTTGCGGCACGGCGGTAGATGGTGACGAGAAAGACCTACAACGTGGAATCCAAAAGCAAGCGGAATGGACGTCAGGCAGAGGCAGAACACCTTGACATGATGGATGGGATTCGCTTCCGTAGCTATCAGCGGTTCACTGGGAGCAGCATAGATTACAACTGCAACTGCAACACCAATCATCACAAGCACCACCCCCGCGATTTGGGAGCATGTAGGACACCTGCGATCACAGCAGGACTCCAAAATGAGGGAGACAGGTACCGCGAGTATCTGCAATGCAAGTGAGAGCACCGTCGAAACATCCGGCACAACAGCAAGTCGCCCCGAGTGGCCAAAAGTTGTCAACAGGTTGTTCAGAGCACAGCATGCCCCAATCGCAATGCAGTACTTCAAACATTTGACTGCGAGTCCGATTGTCAGCAGCGACTTTTAAAACCGAGCAGGGAAGACAAAGTGGCCCGAGAGGATTATGACGCTGTATCCAACAAGCCCTGACAGGGGTAAAAGGACGGAGATTGCGTAAAAGTAGGTACTGGGGAACGACGTTGCTAACATGTTGAAGGCATAATGAACTGAATGCTGTTCCCAGGCATAGAGCCGCTGCAGCCACGACTGCTTGGATTGGCCATGGACTCATCTCAAATTTTGGGTTGTTTCGATCCAATGCTTCGGCCTTTCCTACTAAGTGGTACACCTTTCGGACTGCCCAAAGATCCAGAGACGATCAGGTAATAAGGTAATTGACAGCCGACACCTGGCGGTACCGATACCGGTACGGTAGTGTAAAAAGCCAGGCGAATGCCTGGGTTCGCAGCAAAGAGTGGAGAATGAACTGCAGAACAATGATGGGCGCAGAGGACATAGCCTAGTTATTAGAACCACTCTACACAGGTAGCTTCAATCTCCGCGAAGACGCCAAGTTACCTTTCTGGCTGCCCAAGGATTCAGAGTCCAGAGATGATCGGCGGGTAGATTGACTGACAGCGACACCTGCCTCACGGACGTACATGGTCTGTACGGATATTGCAGCTTAGACGGCTAGAATAAACCGCCTTCTCCGCATTCAAAATCCCCTGGCAGATTTCTTCTCCTTCACAACAGGGGTCTTCTTTCGTCATCTCATCAATCACCATGGCGGTGGAGAATATACGGAAAGAGCAATATCAAGAGACTTTGCGAGAGCAAAAGTTTCTCTCCCGCATGTCTCTTCCTTAAGTGAGGAATTATTATCGTCAATGCTTGAAGGACCACGGCACGGATGTGGATTTGAATGATGCACAGCCTCAAGGTGAGGGGCTGCAGGCATAATGCAGTGGGAGGAAGCCAAACTTGTCCTTAGTTGATACAAGGCCTGGGATTTGCGCTACCATGTATTTGATGGCCTTGAGAATTCCATCTTCTCCCTGCGCCAGCCGGTGGATTGGCAATTGTTCCACATTTCCTTTGTATTTTTCCATCATGCTCTCTGGATACTGCTGCGCCAGGTAAATGATGACATCAGAATAGTCCTTCTCGTGCCACTTGTGCCAACACGCAGTGTGTATTGGTAGAAAGTCATCATCATTCACCTGTGCCCGTACTGACTCGGGCGCAGCCTCCACCACACTGCGGACCACCTCCAGGGGTGCTCTCTCCTGGACCAATTGGTTTAGAATGGTACACCTGCCGCTGCCCCATCCACTTTTGATGAAAGGCACCAACGCCACATTTGGTAATGCCCTCAACAATTCAATAATCCTCTTGTGGTCTCTTGGTCGGCCCTGATTGACATCTTTCAACAGTTCCTGGATTTGGTTACTGGCCTCTTCTTCGTTCATCTCTGTGGCTGGTTTGGGTCTTGTTGGCGCTTTCTTCCAGCTTCCCCGGTGGTTTGGTGTTGCTGCTGTTGCTGCTCTCGTGGTTGTTTCGTGAATTCGGGCAGAATGTGCGTGCTGGTGGGTGGATGATAGAGGTGGGTTGCTTCTTCCACCCTTCTGTCTTGGGGTTCGAAATGTGGTATCCAAGACTGAGCGGAGTCAGTCGAATGATTCGATTCATTCGATTCGAATGATATCCCAGTAAATTATATTTAGAATACTCACTTTTTGCTGCAATTGATAAATGATCCGATTGATCTTTCATTCGATGTCTTCGCTCCAAAGATCGAATTTCAATCTTTCTTTCTTGGCCAACCCCGTACCGGTACCGCTAGTGGTAGCCCGTGTTGGTGATCTTCGGACCTTCTCTTCCTCCGTCCTCCATCCCTCCGCTCTACCAGAGCCACTACACTGTACCTGGTAGCCACCCCCGCGAACATCGCAAATGGCACTTTCACATCGCCATATCCTCATCGCGGTTGTCGTTGTGATTTATTCCTTATGGATTTTTCACGTACCCAAAGACATTGAGAAAGTTGTGCCCAAGCTCTACTCTCGGCCCACCACAATCCACGTGCGTCTCCCTGATGGTGTTGAGGACACTGATAATCTGGAGAAACGGATGTTATCACAAGTCGCAGAACAATGGATGGATTTTTGTTGGATCAAGGGAGCCTACTTGCCTTGGCCGTTTCCTCCCATTCAAATTGACAATGCTGGTTTACGCTACATTCCTCCTGGACTTTTGGAACGGATCATCTCCAAAAACGAAACAGAAATTCGTTACAAGGTGGACAATCCTGGCATGATGTTCACCTTGCTACACACCCATCGAGGACGTGTTTCGTTCGACTACCATGGATACAATTGCAGCATTGTTACGGCACGTGACCACGAAGTATCCGTCTGCGACGCTACGGTTGTCATGAAGTGGCAAGTGGAAATGCGTCCAAGAATCATGTCCAACTTTATTATGCAACAACTCACGGCGGCCATTGTATCATTCTACTCGAGAAATTTCCAACTGCATATGCAAGAGGAACCAGTTTTCAAACTATGGAAGCCAAGTACCTGGGACACTCACAAGATTCAAGAAGACGTGGAATGGAGGGATGGGTATCTTGAGGAATAGGCTCTATCCAGCTAGCTAGCTAGGTAGTCAGTTGGACGTGTCTACCAAAATTCCAATTCGATGGAATGGCACACAAGCACACAAAGTTGGGCTGTATCTCTCGCGAAGCGGTCCCAATGAGAAAGAAACAAAAAGGAGAACCACATCGGGAGTCTTTGGGGTGCCAACGCTTTCACTCGAGTGAATCCCAATAAGCAGCAAGGAAAGATGATTACTTACGAGTCCGAGTGGGGCATGCGCATTCATAATACGATGCTCATTGTATTGATCAGGATCCGCTAAATTTTTACATCGGAATTCTGAATATCGATTTCCCTTCACCCCGAATGCTAAGTCAAGCCAGAGAAGCCAGGACATGCGCAACCAAAGTTATCGAAGCATATGCGCAATACCGATCGAATACCATGGTTCCCTCGCAGAGTATCGGTACCGTCACCCCAAACTCCACAAATGGAATTTTCAGTCTGCCAAGATAGTGCTTTTCATCCAGGTCTTCTGTCTTGAGCTTCTCGTGAAGTTCTGAACGGATCCTTCATGCCAAATACATTGGCTCCTACTGCTCGTTTGTCCAGCATGCCACTGGCTTGCGATGGCAGAGAAATTTGTCGTTATGGTTGATGGGCCTAGCTAGCACTCCAGTTGCTTCAATGAACAACACTGACTCAAGGTCTACAATCAAAGTACCCTTCTCCAGCAGTGCTGATGCAGGTGTTCCCTGGATGAAGGTCAGAATGCACCGCGGCTTCCGCTAGCTAGCTGTGAGAGGAAGGAATGCTCGGAGGAGGAGAACGAATCCTTCAATCGAACTAGTAGGATCCAATCATTGGAATAAAAGCTTCGAATAGATACGGGTTTCAACCATCTTGCACAAAACACGAAACAAATGATAGAATGTCAAATGCTAAACGGCGTTGCATCTTCTCGCAGCGCATCACGATACCGCTACCTAGCTAGTTGCGATTGTTCACTTGTCGAAGCCTGGCCCATGCCAGCTCAAACACAGCTCAGACTGGATCAAAATGACTTGCTGTCCAGCCAGTCATGCTTACCATCCAATCAACAGTGGCAGTTACAACCGCAATGTGGAACGGAGTTGAATTCATGGCAAAGAAACGGTGTCTGTTGGAAGGTTTCATTAACCCAGCAAGAATCATCTTGTTCCTCCAGCAAATTTTTGCTGAAATTGAAAACATTCAAGGTGGAGGTACCATTGGTCTCAAGAAAGTTGATGAACTCCTGTGGAATTGTGCCAGTGAGTCTGTTCTCCTGTGCCAGAAAGTGAGTGAGATGGGGCAGGGCTGCAATCTCAGATGGAACTTGGCCTGAAAGAGTGTTGTTCTGTAGCTCGATACATTGTACAGATGACATCAAAGCAAGTTCAGTTGGTATGGAAGAGCCCAATTGATTGTCACTGAGACCAAGACCCCAGAGTTCTGAACTGTTCAGCATTCCGAGTTCAGAAGGAATCTATGACAAGAATAACTGGTTGGTATCCACGCAAAGTGCTTCTTGCTCCCCAGATTGGTTTGAACTTACTGGTCCATGGAAAAGATTCATATCCAGAAGGAGTCTAACGGGAGAATTGAGAAGACCAAGTTCGGTCGGCAATGTACCTGTGATAGCCAGCATGAGTTTGGTGAGTTGGAAAGCATGGAATTCTTCCAGAGAAGGAATATATTCCATCGAAAGCAATGTACCTGTTAAGAGGTTATCAAAAAAGAAAGCCCACTCAAGGTCTTGAAGCAAGCCAATGTCTGATGACAAAGTCCCAGTCAGACTATTCAGATCCAAGTAAAGATTCTGAAGATTGGTGAGTTGGAACAGTCCTATTGGAATGGTACCTGAGAAATTATTGTCGTCGATCAACAATGTGTCCACTTTGGAAAGCATACCAATCTCAGTAGGCAGTGTGCCAGTGAGTTGAGTTACCTCGCTGAGAAAGAAGGTAAGAGTGTCACTCAACATCCCAAGCTCAGTGGGGAGAGTCCCCGTGACATCTGTGAAGCTGAAGATTGCCGCTTCTAAATGTTGCAACTGACCAATCTGCGAGGATATGGGCCCACCCAGCATATTGAAGAAGAGACTCATTGTCTCCAAATTTGTCAGCCAGTAGATTTCTTCTGGTAGTGGGCCTTCCAAGTTGTTCATGTGGAACCACAGCTGTTTGTAGGAACCTTCAGCTGGGACCTCAATCAAGTTTATTGCCTCCATTGTGCCATTTGCAGTTGTATCATTGATTCTGAGATGACATGGATTCTGATACTCGCCTCTGAAATGGTGCTCGCCAGACCCAGGAATCACAAAGGGAATGGATCCACTTGCATACCAAAAACATTCATGGTGGCTATAACTCAGCCAGTTATCAGAGTAGGTCCAGTTGAAGCCATTGGTAGAGTGAAACATTGCCACCAGGGCAAATCGCTGCTTCACCCTCCATTCCAAATCAACATATTCCGTTAGATCTGGATCATCCAATATCCAATCCAATGCTTTGGATTGCGGAGACTCTGGGTCCTCCAATGCCTGGATAGTGTAGTTTGGGAAGTAGCTCAGGAGCTGTTCAAAGACAGGAGATGCACTTGGGGCCATGCTAAAGTCCGTAAGGTCATTTTCTTTGTTGGGTTCAACATGCTCCATGGCTGGCGTAGCTTCATTTCCATCACCTGTTTTCCCCAACAGGACCGCAAGTAGTACAATGAAAACAACAAGACAGAGGCCGAAGCCAAGAACCAGTGCAATCCGCTTATTTGACTCTTGGGTTTGTGTGGTCCTTTTCCGAGACGCTCGATTCTCAGTATACTCTTCTGCTTGTGGCAAGTCTCTTGAATCTTCCGGATCCTCCTGCACCTCTCTTGCAACTGCCAAACCAGAGCTGACCTGTTCGGGTGGTGTTGGTTCAATGTCACGCCTAGTTTCATCAATAATTATCTCGGCATCATTGTTGTTGGATGGTGTTGGTGCAAAGGCATAGGCTCCTGGTTCCGCAAGTTCTTGTGTTTGTTGTTGAGGGGGAGCTCCTGGGCTCTTCTCTGTTGCCTGGCTTTGTGATGGTTGGCTGCTTGGGTTAAGATTGGCATAGTGCCCTTGTTGTAGCTTCTGGTCCAGCATTTGCATGTCACTATCAGTTCCATGATATCCTTGTTGTAGCTTTTGATCAATGCTTAGCATGTCAGCCTCATTCATGTCATTATCAGTTCCATGATATTCTTGTTGTAGCTTCCGATCAACCCTTAGAATGTCGTTCACGTCATTACTAGAAGTTCCATGGGAGCCCTGCTTGGCAGAATGCAATTCTTTTTGCTGCTGGCCTTTTCCTCCTACTAGTATCAACGGTTTTGTCATGTCGTCAGTATTTGCAATGGATGTGCTCTTTTGATTTTCAATTAAGCAGGACGACTTCGATTCTTCAGTTCTGTGAGCGTCAATCCTCGCAGCCACGACGTCCATCAAAAAGTTGACTTCTTCATCGTCCGAGGGAGTCACTGCTTTTGGATCCGCTTTTGGATTGGATTGGACGTCCCCTTCTTCCGACACCAGATCGGACGCGGCCATCTTACTCATGGTTACAGCCACACACTCTTTATTTGATGTTGATATTGACCAGCGATCGGCGGCGATCGGTAGCCTACTCGTACTAGCTAGTCTAGTTAGCTCTAGCAAGTGAAGCAGAGATGCTCTTTGAAGAAAAGAAGAAGCACCGCTTTGTACACGTAGTCATGGAGAACACAAAAGTCAATAGAAAAGAAGAAACAAGCTGCTGTAATTCACTGTGGCGCACGAGGTTCATAGCGGATTACCCACTCTAAACCCTCATTTTCCCATACGGAAGCGCGCACCAATTCGCGCGAAGGATGAGGAGGCGAAACAAGGTATGGAAAAAGTGCGGTTATCTGTTAACTTCAGTACGATTTTTCCACACAAGACTTCGCCAACTGTACAGTAAGGGACACACTCAAAATTTAAAAAATGTCACTTAGACGGATCCAGTCTTGTGAGACATAAAAAGAATAAGCAAAGACTTATTCGCCGAGGTGCACGGTACGTTGGAGCCCTCATTTTTATCTTACTCACAATTTCGAAGACGTCGTACCGCTTTGTGGAGTCGTCAAGTCATTGGATTCCCACACAGTCAACTACAGCAAAGCTTGTACCTCACCATGTTGCTGACTGCTACTCCTGCATTTAAACAATGGCTAGATATTAATACTCGCTACCCATTCAATGAGATTCGGAAGACCAGGCAGAGTTTTGAACTCAAGTATGTTTTATTGTTGGATGAAACTGACAGGGCTAACAGGTACAGTCAGCACTTTGTTCTAAAGGTAAAGTACCTTCCCAGTGTCATGGTTGAACAACTCATCATGGAAGAGAAAGCAGTGCCCATGACTCCAGATATGGCTTGGATTCTGGAAACTATGACAGGATGGGGAGTGAGGCAGAGCACTGAGTGGTACTGTGATGTTCTTGGTCTGCTTGCTTTGACAGTGGAGGAAGGAGATTCTATAACAAAGAAAGAGTTGTGCAGCTTGATAGTGAGACCACTTATAAGGGATGCACTCTATAATCAGTTTGGTTTGTGGGAGTGGGAAGCCAAACAGTTGTTACTCACAGAATGGAGTCATTGGTTTGCCACTGAGTGTTGGAGCAAACACAAAAACAGTTTGAGTGGAATGGTCATCAGTAGCCAGCAGTACATTGAACACAGGGCTGCATTCACTGCCCATCATGGAGGCTACTCTTACCCAATGCCTTGAATATGTCTCATGTCTGAAAGAAAGAGGAAGCAACAAAAAGAAAGAGGAAGCAAGAGCTGTAAGATTGTTGTTGTTTGTTATCCAACTAGTTGCCAACAGTAACACCAATAAAACCTACCTTAGTGTCATACCAGTCTTTCCTGTCAACACTATTCTTGTGTGTTAGCTTTGTGCATGAAGGCCCATACCCATCATCAGGGCCATGGTAGTCCTTGAGTTGCCAGCAGTTGCCACAATAGTTTCTGGTACAGTCCTTGCCAACTCCCTCCCCCTCAATGTGATCCTTTCTTTTGTGGCCACAAGTGATGCAGAATCTTCTACTCCTGAAGACTTTCCTTGCTGGCCTTCTAGTGGCACCTTGTCTTGGCTCTGGTGTTGGCGCCACCAGATAAGGCGCCACATTCCTATTCTGGTGCATGACTTGTGCATTGACTCCATCTAATCTCCCCAACAAAACTCCAGTATTCAATGCTGTTGGGTTGCCAAGGGGAGTGCGCCCTCCTTGGTGTTGAATGTAGTTTGGCGGCTCTGTTGTGTGTGGTGTAGGATTCGCTTGTAGCCCTTGTCTAGTCTCTCGCAAGGTCCTGTTGAGCTGCTGTCTACTGGGATCATTGGCTTGTGTTGCTGTCGCTTGAAGTGACCGAAATTCACGTATTTTTCGAAGATGGAGCTCCAGCTGCTGTCGGCTCTTCCTGTTGATTTGAATGATTGTGTCATCCCCTCGACTCCATTCAGAGAACCTTCGCGCGACTTCATTGTTCCAGTTTCTTTCAAATGCCTTGTAATTTGGCTTCCCCCGGCCTTGGAGATTATACTTGTGGTGTTCCTGGTTGAATAGCCTGTCTTCTTCAAGATCCAAAGCATTCGCTGTTGTGGTTGAATCAGGCGATCTGAAGGGTATCCAAGGCTGTTTGTTGGTAAGCTTGGTGAACACCTGCAACGTTGACTCTCTGCCATTTGTTTCTGGCAATAACTTCGCAAGTTCCTCTTGGATGAGTTGGCGATTAAGGGCGTCACTGTGCCTTATGCCTTCAGACTGTTGTAGATCCTCCAAATTTTGTTCCATGTCGTTCTCAGTGGCTTCATTGGGTTCACCAGTAACATCAACGGTGACTGGAACATCGTCTTCATCCCTGTTGTTGGTGACTGGCTCATTTTCCTGATGGTCCTCGTCCCCGCTGTCATAATTGGTGTTGCCATGAGTAGGATTGGACACATCGTGAGTTTCATTTACCTTGTAAGAGAAACCCATGTACTCAGAAGGAAGAGAGTCAACAACAGTTGGCGCTGAGATCCCCTTGAAAGGCAACTCTGACTCCATATATCCAACCTTTTTGGCAATCGAATTCAGAAGGAGCAGTCGTTCAGTCTCCACAATACCATAATCCTGGTCACCAAGACGTGTAATGGCCTTTTGTTGATTCCTTTCTTCAAAGAAGCAGGTCATTAAGCGGTCAGCTCGATGAATGCCGATGTGTGTTGCGGTCAGTATCTTGTATGCCAGGTCCAAATTGTCTCGCTCATTGGTGTTGGTACCTCTTGATACATAGGTAATCCCAGTAACTGGATTGCGCCTGAAGATCTTGACTCCTGATGGATCCGACAGACATCCCTTGTCAATGTAGGTAAATAGCTGCTTGATTTTGTCTCGAGTTGCTGAGTCATTCTTCAGAATCAACCTTGCCGATGGACCTTCAGTACCTGTTGACAACTGCATTTCCGTTTCAGCATCCTTTCCACGTACATATTCCAACACTGCTTCGACATTCTTTCTCAGTTCAGCCGGTGGTGGGATAACAGCATTGGCTTCTCTCATTATTTCCTTGTGAGTTGGCTCACGATTCTTCTTCTGTTGTAGATACTCCTTCGCTCGATCATACTCAGTTGGTTCCACCACGAAAATTGCTCTGCTCAACAAGCCACGAAAGATACCTGCTTGTGGGGAATTCGCGTCTCTAAGACAAGGGGTCCACCTTTTGTGCCAGTGAAAAGGATCAAGGAGAATGGTGATACTCTCTCCGAATATTCTCTTCAGGGTCCGATGCACTTGACAACAGTTATCAACGTACACCACAGAAACTGCGTTGGATAATGGAACATCCCCAATGGGAGGAATGTCTGCTCCGTCAGGAACCAAGTCTCGAGCCAACTCTTTGCGTCTGCTTATTTCCTTGGCTTGCTTGTTCTTCTTCAGCCTTTCATTGAGGCGAATCAAGTCTGTCTCAATCTCAGTGAATGACTCTGAGTGCTTCAATGCTTTCCAGAATACTGTCAGGCCATCTTCATTCTGCACTGTAATGATGCACCTGTAAGGACAAAAACTCTTGCCAGGCCCAGTCCACACTCTGATTTTGGCAGCAAGCTTATAATTGAAGTCTATCTTCAGGATTTCAGCTGTAAGACCCAGCATCTTACTTTCCTGGTACTCCTTGCGATGGTTGAAGACAGTGGTTACGAGGCTGTCGATCATGTGCTTGCTCACCACCCTTCCATCATAACCCTTCCGGTCATCAAACTTGGAGAAGAGTGGAGGACGGTTCTCGCTGGCTACTTCCCCCCCTTCTCCATTCTCATCAGCTGTTCCACCACCCGGCAATCCATTATCTTGCACGTAATCAGCGAGAGTGTCCATTGCTTGTTGAAGTTCCAATTCGGCTGCAATGAGTTCCTCTTCCAAAGCTTCGACTCTAGCTTTGTGGTTTTCATAATACGTTGCTACCTTCTGCTGCCATGTTCGAATCTTGTTCCGAAGACGAGAAGGATAGTCATCAGGATCCGTGGCTTGTAATTCCAGCATTGACCGAATACCCATATCAATCAACTTTCGCAACTTAGTGCCTCCCAGGCCAGGAAGAATATTCTTTGCTTGTCCAAAATGATTCTGGTTGTCTTTGTCCCTAAGCATGCTCTTGAATTCAACATCGCCATTGGCTTTTCCCTTTGCTGATGATAGCAGAAGCCGGATTCGAGTTGCATTGTTCTCTTTGACATTCTTGGCTGACTGGAGGCTTCTTAATTGGTCATCCGATTGAATAACAACATAATCATCCATTGTTCTTGCCTTCTTCTTAGGTCGACAGTCAATCTGATCTCTTCCCACGGCAGATAGGTAGAGCTCGAAATCGCTGTAATATGCGCTGTATGCTAGGCGTTTGAGACGTTTCGCGATGCTAGCTGTGCATTCTGTTGCGGCCTCCAGGACAATCTGGCTATAAAGCTCCTCATCCACGGCATACCCATGACCCAGGTAGAAGTTGAAACTTGACCCATAAACACTGGAGTCCAGCTTCATGCTCTCCTTGTTATATCCTGCAAAGCGGCGTCCACAAAGGTTGCATGGATAGAGCACCGTGTCCAGATACCGTTGTCGGTGGACTCCAAAAAGAATCTTAGGATTGTTGATCCAGCGAGTTTTCAGGACGTCCACATAGCTGTTCTTCTTGCAGTGTGGACATGTTGGTACATGCCCCTGGAATAGCAGGTGCGGCACAAACACTGCCATTCCTTTCACATAAAAGGCATCAGCTTTGGTTTTCTTGGCGGCAGTATTCAACAGATTGCTATTATTCCTCCCTCCGGATGGTTGAACATTCTTCCAGTTATGCCCTTTCAGGAAGGCACGATGGTCGTTGTCAATGGAAGCACGGGTGGATTTTATAAAGGCTTGTTGTGCAGGGCTGAACTGTTTCAGCGGCGTATCTCCTCCTCCTCCTGTCATTGTCGACATCTATTTTCGAAAGTGAGGTTGATTGGATTCCACGCTTAACAAGATTGTGCACCGGGGGTTGAGGGTTAAAGTTTGCGAGTGACGAATTTGGACTAAGTCAAGACTAAAAGAATATTTGGTTCCCACAAGGGAGTGAGGGCGCAATAGTAGAGTTAAAGTAAATTTTGAGCGGAAAAACGTGTCCAAGGAATGGGTAGGGATTTATAGGTAGGACATGGGATAGTTAGAGGCAGGGACTTGCAGCGTCATAGGAAAGGTCTGTCCCCCCCTCCTCCTTTTTTTTTTCTTCTTGTGGCCAACGAGGTTTTGGCCACACCCGAAACAAGAGGGAGGCGAAACACGAAACGGATGTTGGATTCTTCAGGTCTTGTTTTGAATTGTAAAGATTGAGGTGTGCTACATGTACCTACATTACTATGATAGAGTTCCTGATTGACTGCCACGATGAAGGGGACTCTGAAATCAATCGGCCCTCGCTTCCTTCTTCGGCAAAGACCCCCAACTAAGGCCAGAGCATTCTTTGCCAGTCAAGCCCAAACTGGAGCTTGGTCGTCGTTGTCAGCGGACGAACAAGCCGCCTGGAAGACCTTTCACTATGACAGAGATTCTTGGGAACGCCGACGACCAGCACCCGAATGGAAACAGTGGGACCGTCTCACGTTGGAAGAAAAGGCAGCGGCCATGTACGGATTGAAGATTCACAACCAAAAAGAATGGGATCAAGCAGCACCTTCCTTCCATGGTGATATTCCACCCTTGTCTAGTTTGCTACTAGAAGACAGCGACGATGATGAGAACGACGAAACTGCAAATGCCCTGGTGGTAGCGCAAGAAACACGGTTGGCCCGACAACAGCAGCAACAACAACAATCCAATTGGCTGGGGCAAATGGCGTATTCCACCATCAAAGGGTTGGCACCCGTGGCCGGCCCCTTGCTACGGAATGCGGCAAACCACAGCCGTGGGGCACTGGGCCTGTCCCTGGCGGGAAGTCTGTTGGAATCGTTACCCACCATTATGGATGCTTCCAGTGGCGTGCTGCACATTACTGGAATTGATACGTTAATATATCTCGATGACAGTGCCAGCATGGCGGGAAGCAATCTACGAGAGGGACAAAAAGCGTTGCAAAGTCTCGAACAGCGTCTCAAAGCTGACGACGACCAACGATTTTTGCCCACACGCATTGTAAAGTTTGGAATTCACCCCACCATTTTGAACCCTTCGGAAGAAGATTGGAATGCTTCTCTGGTCAACTTTGCCTGGGATGGTAGTAGTGGTGGAACGTACATGTGGAAAATGATTCAAGACGACATTCAGGCTCGGTACAGACCGGCAGGAGGCAAGCTGCGGATCGTGGTCATCACGGATGGATACGACAATATTTCCCCCTCACCTTACAATGGAGTGAGAGGTTTTGATCCATTGATGCAGACTCTGTTACAGCTTGGCTATGACATTGAATGGAACATTATTGTCGTGGGAAACAACAGTCCTGGAGCAATGTTGCAGATGCACCCAGAGCTTTCCACCCGAGACCAGGAACTCTACAAAAACCTGTGTGAAGCAACGGGAGGGCATTTCTTGTCCTTGGGCGCGGGAGGATGGGATGAAGATGACAACCAAGTGGCCAACTTCTTAGAGGCTGTGGAAGATTCTGGATTCTATGATTCGGAACAGGATCGTCGAGAGAGGCAAGAACGTTACCAGATAGATGCTCGTAGAGGCAAGGCAGACAAGTTCGATTGGCTCCCTACCTTGTCGGACAAGCATGATGACAAACAGTGACAAGTCCAAATAGGAGGATGCTAGTGTTTCACTGAATCACCTCGAAAAAGTTCGTAAATACCAAGTCAGCTAGCACTGTTGCTGATATTCTAGCTAGTGCATGTTTCTATTTCGATAGCCATTTCAATGGAAACGGTGCTGTACTGGTGCCACAGGCAGTGTGATCGAGATGGGTGAGTGGTCTGTACCTGGTTCTTTTGAAAGGACCGACTTACCAGAGTAGAGGACCGCAGCTAGCAAGACTACATGATGGAGCTTGCCTTCTACAAGGCTACGATACCAATGTACAGTCGTACGATGGCCAGGACGTACCGTACCTACAGCTGTACTTGCGGTAGCTCTTACGGAGAGCCTTTGGGACGCCGACACACAAATCTTTACTGTCACTTACGTGAATGATTCATCCCAATGGGCAGCAAGGAAATATGACCATGAGCCCGAGTGGGGCATTCACCTTCACAATGCGATGCCCGTTGCACTGATCAGGATCCGCTAAATTTCTTCACCAGAATTCTGGCTTTCGACTTCCCTCCACTCAGACTGCTCGTTCAATCCAGGGAAGACAGGATCTACGCATCCAAAGCCCAGCACATGGCATGTAATACCGATCTCTTGGACTGCCATGGCTCCCTCACGGAGTACCTGGTACCAGTACCTTCGCCTCAAACTCCACAAATGGCAGCTTCAGTCTGGCAGGAAGTACCTTTTCATCCAAGCTTTCTTGTACAACTGAGGCGCGCTCCACAACTACAAGGAAGCTGTCAACGACTCTCTCCGGGCTTTCTTCGATGACCTGAAACAGCTAGCCAGCCCTCGTGCAACCCTTTTTGTGAGAGCTAGTTGTGGTAACAAGATTGAAAAGAAAATCGAAGACGCAGCAGAGCTCCTCGAACTTCCGGCATGCACAACGAAAAGGAGAGTGTTTTCCCGCTTCTTGAATGAGAAAGGCTGGTCCTACAAGGTGAACGTGCATGGGGCTTATTCCTCGATCGATCCTATTGAGACCATGGAACAGAAGCCGGTTTGCTCATGGACAAAGTTCTGTAACTTCTGGACTCTCTGCTGTCCAGAGCTGGTAGTGGCAGCCCCAAGGGAAGGCATTTGCAATGAGTGCTTCAAGTATCACCAGCGGCACAAGTTCCTCTCTGGAGTGCAGAAGAGGAGAGCACGAGAAGACGCAGAGAATGCAGCCGATAACGTCCACATTGAAGGTGATACCGATGATGACGACGATGAGACTCCAATCAATCAACTTAAGAGCAACAAAGAAGACAAAGCGAAGCAGCATGAAGACATCGTGGAAGAGCAGGAGTTAATGATTCTTAGTGCCGCTGAACATGTGGAACAAGCAAGGTGTCAGCGAGAGTACTATCAAGCCATGAAAGAAAAGAGCAAGGAATGGTGGTCACCAGAGCAGATGCACACCCGCACAGAACAGATCTCCCTCTGTTTCATTTGTTACTACGCACAGATGGGAGTGCCATCGTTTCTTGCTGATCAGCCAGGTAAGACGTACTATTTATTGGTCACCATGCAACGCCTTTTGCTTTGGCATCGTGGACTGCATGGAGTCGCCAGATCTCCTCCATTCCTACATCTACACAGAGGATGTTGCGTCGAAGGGAGGAAACAACGTGGCATCACTCATCTGAAACCATCTTGTGCAGAGGGATATCATGGAAGCGGCAAAGAGACTACCATTTCCAGAGATCTCTTTTATCTTTGACAACTGCCCTGGTCAAAACAAGAATCAAATGGTACTTCGAATGTTGTTCTTTCTTGTCAAGATGAAGATTGCCAAAGTCGCGAGAGCTCACTTCCTCATTAGAGGACACACGAAGAATGATTGCCACAGACTGTTCAGCCAGTCAGGATTATATCACAGAGTAACTCACCCCGCTCTCGCCTAAGTAACTTTGTGTTTTCGTCCACCTAACTAAAACATGTTTTAGTCACCTTGACTAAAACTAACATTTAGCATCCTTCCCAAATCATGTTTTAGTCAACTAGTCTAAAACCTGTTTTAAACCTAAAAGCCGAAACTTGTTTTAGTCCGTAAGGCGAAAACAACTCGGCGCTCGTTCGCGTGCGTAATGCCAGCCAAATGGTCATAATTTCATTTGGATTCACTCCACAAATCAACCCACATCCACAACAAGAACAACCTCCCACTCCATCCACAGCCAAATCTCCACATCTATCCACCCTCTGCACTCCCCACAGCCCAAGAAGACACACAGAGAGTCTCCTTACCATCACTGCCACTACTCCAGCACAGATCTCTAGCTGGAAAGAGCCCAAACACAAGGAACAAGCCTGTAAGTGCCCGGTGCAGTTTTTGTTGCATTATCGTCGTATTGATTAAAACATGTTTTCGTCGTATTGATTAAAACAAGTTTTCATCGTTTTCGTCGTGTTGGTTAAAACATGTTTTCGTCGTGTTGGTTAAAACATGTTTTCGTTGTATTGGTTAAAACATGTTTTAGTCTCTTTGGTCAAATCAAGTTTTCGTCGTGCTAACCAAACCTTGTTTTAGTCGTACCGACCAAAGCACGTTTTAGTCGTCCCTACCAAAACATTGATATCTGTGATTATCTTAATGTGGAGGAATATTTCTTGAGTCTCCTAATCCTCAATGTTGACTCACACTCTTTCTCTTTTCTCTTCCTGTTCATTAGACTGACTGCCGATTGACTTTATGTCTACTTCAAAGAAGGGATCTTTCAAGTATGTCTACTTCAAAGAAGGGATCTTTCAAGTCTATTGGGTTTCGTTGTCAAGGTTCGGACTGATAGAAACGGAACAGCGCAAGCCGGCATCGGCTTTTGGTTCAAACATGGCGCATATTCGACTCTGGTAGGATCGAGACATGAGTGCTAAATGGGACCACGGTGCATCCGTCGTGGACCACAGTGTGGAATACGCTGCACAGACTATGTGCGCTCTTCCGGTACTCATGAACTCTATCCCTTGACCTCCGACTGGTGCGAGTCACTGGTCTTCTGAGTGGGAGAAAATGCCTCATTAGCAGTGAGAGTGACTGCAGCTCAAGAATGGGTCAATTGACTGAATCTAGCAGCTTGGTTCAATTCTTCTTTGGAAAAGGATGACAATGGCCGATTCTGTTCTGAAATTGGAATCCTCTTGTTATCGTGACAACTTTTCGACTTTTCTCTTTTCCTTGGTAAGCGATCTTGTCTCTATAACTCGTGGAGTACTTGCAGCCAATGTAAACATTGTACCTTTCACCAACCTTCTCTGTTTTGATCACTTTGATTTGTGTATCCTCTTGCATGGCTGCTTCATTGATCCTCTTCACAAGACTTTTGTGGTAGTCAAAGGAGGGTTCATAGACATCTTTGGGAAGGATAAGTTCTCCACCAAATGATTTGGAGCCAAAAGCTGTGTCATACTTGAAGACTTGACACATGTTTTGGTCTCAGAAAGAAACAAGGTAAGCGAAACTTTGACAAAAAGAAAGAGGAGCCAAGCCAAATTTTCGTCTTTCTGACCTGTTTCTGTGTTTTGGTCATCTTGACTAAATCATGTTTTGGTAATTGGGAATAAAACGCGTAATAGTCATTAAGGTTAAAAAAAGTTTTAGTAAAATGGAATAAAAAAAGTTTTAGTAAATCGGAATAAAACGTGCTTTAGTTAGATTGACGAAAACATGTTTTAGTCATTAGGACCAAAACATCAGTTGAGTTTGCAAGCGGGGTGAGATACTCTGTGTTATAATCCTGATGAGAAAGGATACCGGTAAGCTCGCACGTTCTCTGCTTCTTCCCACGAAAACCTGAGATGTGATGTCACTCGCTAACCACTGTGTCTTCCACTGGAAAGTCCCGCAAAAGCTGAATTTTGCGATTACCCATAATTAAGCACCTTGAACTGTTGAAAAAATCAACAGGTGTTGAAAAAGTGTTGATTAAGTGTTGAAAAAGTGTTGACTAAGCGTTGATTCTCTTTCAGCAACTGTTAAAAATACTGTTGAAAATTTGTACATCATTTTCAACACTTTTACTGCAAACTACTAGTACTGGATTCAACAGGTGTTGAAAACAGGACCTCTGTGGAAACGTCATTCGTGGCAAAATACTTAGGAGACGATACACCGAGGAATAGGAGACGATCGAAATGATTTAAGAGACGAAAGCAATCGTCTCCTATATTTAGGAGACGATTCAGTAGGAGACATTCCAATTAGGAGACAATCGTTTCGAAAGAGGAGACGATCCGAAAGATTTAGGAGATGATACCATACAGTTTACATGGTACACTTAGGAGACGATCCGTTGAGAATAGGAGACGATCCGTTGAAAATAGGAGACGTTTTTTAAAAGAGGAGACAAAAGATTTAGGAGACGATCCATTTCGTCTCCTATTTTTAGGAGACGAAATCCATTAAATAGGAGACGATCAAAAGGATTTAGGAGACGAAAAGTAGCACGGCTCGAGTTTCCACAGAGGTCCAGTGTTGAACAGTATTCAACAGTGTTGAAAAAGTGTTGAAAAAGTGCTGAAAAAGTGTTGACTAACTGTTTAAAGAAACTCTTACTGTTGAAACAGAATTCAACACTTTTACACGGACTTCAGCAATTTCAGCATTTGCGGGACTTTCCAGTGCCTTCCATGTACTATAAAAAGAACAACATCTACACGCCAACAGATCTCCTGTCGGCACTGGAGCATCCACAAGTTAAGCCCGTGTCGGTTGATGCCTCTGTCATGTTGAACTGGGATTCGGCAGAAGAAAAGTACATTTTAAAAGGTACCCAAGGACATTCTTGCTAACCTTGTCTTCACTGTCGACTCTACTGTGGATAATGCAAACACCTTGATTGTCCAGAAGGACTACACGGCGCCAAAGAAGCACCAACGTCTTGTCAAAACAGAGTATCAGGAAGAAGACGCGAAGACGCGGCATTTTGGGAATCCGTGGTCAAGAATTTGGTTCCTATTCCAGCTACCGGCATACAGGACATCAAGTGAAAAGAGCT